AAAGAGAAAATGAAAAAGACTGTAAGAGTTATTTTAAAATTAATTGTACAGCAGTTTCTAAGTAATTACAGGAAGATCTAATTATTGGGTTTTCTTATTGTAGGCATCAAATTTTTCTCAACTAATGTCACACGGATTACACATGGACATCAGTCAGTTCTACCTTTTTTTCTTCTTCTTCATGGACTTTAACAGAAAAGAGGAGTATTATTGGAACATTGGAAAACTCAAATTTTCCTAAAAACTGGGTTAATACTGATTTTTGGACCTATTTTGCAAAATTTACTATCTGTGTTACAGTTCCGCTTTTTATTTACCGTCTCAAAGTTGCATTTGAAGTGATTCATGCATGTTTGAATAAGAAACTTTTGTTTAATTGGTTATTTTCAAGATGCCATTTTGCCGATCAGCCCCATCGGCTCTATTCAGGCTTACGTCACAAACCAGGAAGACGTTTGGAAACATGCGATGACAATTTCCGGTGGGCTCTGTTCGCGCTTAAGTCTAACAAAATCTAGGAAACATGAGAAAATGGACCAGTTTTCTTCATCTCCATGTCATTGTAGTGTTCTGTTTGTTCGGCTCATCAACAATTACAACGATACCTCAGTTTTCATCGTTTTCTCGCTGATGCACAACTCCAAGGACGCCAAATTCCAGATGATTCCAAACAGCACAGACGTATGCAGTCTTCATTTTACCACTGATCACTTTTACTTCAACGGGTTTTATCACAATTGTAGCAGGCTCATAGAACTATAATAAAATCAGTGTCGGTAACTACAGCGGAAGTTGTCATCACACGTCTTCCTAGTTTGTGAGTGAAGTGTCACCGCTACCGGTATATGCCCACTGCTTTAAAATAACTCCATTCTCCAAGTTTATTTTCTTAATCTGTGATACACATAAGGTTCAGCAGTGTTCTGTAGTCATTTTGGTACAATTGAAAAAAAAAAAGCTTTAACTTGGAAGACAGAGGACTTGTTTCTTTTATTAAGTAAATTGAGATGAATATTTAAAATGTGCAAATTAAAACATATGATACACTGGTGTCAAGTATTATAACTATATAACTGACAAACTCACAGTAGGTGTTCTTTAACGTTTCCTTTGGCATTTATATTTGTTTACATCCCCTTTAGCTATTGATATTTCAGTAGCTAATGAGGATCTTGGCAAACAAAGAAATTCTATTTGTCAACTGGACGAAAGTTTCTTTTGGTCGAATACGTTTCGCATCTCATACACGATACTACTTCAGTTCTGGTTGGACACTGAAGGAACGAGCGAATGACACTGAAATTATTCTGAAACTAACACATCTACTTGTTTACGGTTTCTGTTTGTAGCTCGGCTTATTGCTCTTGCCCTCAGTGTTGGGTCTTTTTAGCAGATTTGTTTATGGTCATAATGGAGCTTTCACACCTCTGGACCTGACCTGGCTCTCCCAAATGTTTTCTTTGTTTGTTTTGATTTAAGTTTGAGGATGGAGCTGTAAACAGGAGATAGATCATGTCTGAGGCCTCTGTTTAAGAAAGGATTTTCTTTCTTAACAAAAATAGGCTCTTAACTCCCCTCTCAAACCGTTTGCCATAGATTCTACCTGGATGACTGATAGATTGTACACACATCTAATGAGGGTCTTATTAACAACTTAAACCAATATGGCGACAGGTGGCAAAAAACGATCAAAACAGCAGGTTTAAGACACAAAAAGACACACATTGAGCATAGGATGACCACATTTTCAAAATAAAAAACTAGAACATTCCTGGTTTGTGGTGATTAGTAATAATAATCTTGTGAAACCAGTGCATCATTACAGAGAACTGTTCTGTACTCAGCACTAATGTGAGCCAGTATAGTCATAGTTTATTTCTGTGTTGGTGATTTTTAAGAAACTTTTCTGTATTTTACCTAAACAAATGACAATGTATGTCTCTCTTTATTATTGGCAGGGATCAGATTGGTCAAAAATAGGGACTCCTGGGACAATTCACTGATTTTGGATAAATCTGATGGGACAGGAGACACAGGGCTCAAAACTGGGACTGTCTCACGTAAATAGGGACGTCTGGTCACCCTGATTTAAGATCATTTCAATTTCAAAGTAATTTATTTTGAAACCTACATAACTGCAAATTTGGAGGTGGATAACTGCAGCATAGTAGCCTGACCACTGACTTTATATTAGAAGCTCAACTGCTGATATTAGTTTCTGGGGCTCACATCTGATTGGTCAAAAGAAGTTACATGACAAAAATACACTGTTGAAAATGACTAAAGATAGATTCAATAGTTGTAGGCTCCATTCAAACTGAAAGCAAAAAGTAAGAAATAGTTAAGTAAAAATACAGTTTCATGTGTACACCTGGGTTTGGATGGTTGCTATGAATAAAATTGTGAAAAGAGCGTGTAACATTGTGCATTCTTGTGTCAGTCATAATCTGAGGACATTTTTTTTTTCAAGGTTCAAGGTTCAAAGTTCAAGGTTCAAGGTTCTTTATTTGTCATTCAAGCATATGAGAGAAACACATGACAGAACCAAATGTGCTTCCCAAGGCCCAGAGCAAGATAAAAACATTAATAAATAAGCAATATTTAAAAAGTAAGTACATCAAAACAACAACATTTAGCAGTTTCAACAGATAAGTACAAGTAAAACGTGTGGCGAGATAGGGAGGCAGCCCAAGCAGGAAGTCAGTGTGCACTGTTCAAAAGTCTGACAGCCTCAGGAAAAAAGCTGGACTTCAGCCGAGATGTTCTGGCTTTAATGCTCCTCAGTCTCCTCCAAGAAGGCAGAGGAACAAACAGGTGGTGGGAGGGGTGCGAGGGGTCCCCCATGATCCTGGAGGCCCGTCTCCTGCAGCCTTCCTCATAAATGTCACTTATGGGTGTTTGCTTTGTGGTCATTTGAAAACAAGAATTTCTGTATTTTGGCCAAACAAATGACAATGTATGCTCCTCTTTACTGTTGGCTGGGAGAAGATTAGTCAAAAAATTGTGACAGTCCAGTTTTAGACCTGATGTAGTCCTGGTTTAATTTTAGTTTAGTCCTGGTTGAGATCAAATTGGTCAAAAATAGGGACAACTGGGACAAATTACTGGTTTTGTGTAGGGTGACCAGACATCCCTAATCCCTATTTACCCGGGACAGTCCCACTTTTAAGCTCTGTATCCCCTGTACCAGCAGATTTATCCAAAACCAGGGATTTGTTCCAGTTTTATACAAGTAATGTCCCAAGTGTCCCTATTTTGATCAATTTGAGTTAAACCAGGACTAAGCTAAAACTAAACCAGGACTACATCATGTCTAAACCAGGACTAAAACAGGATTATCACAATTTTTGACTAATCTGATGCCTACCAACAGTAAAGAGGAGCATAAATTATCATTTGTTTAGCCAAAAAACAGAAAACCATGTCTGCAAAAGCCACGTCAGATTATGACTGACACAAAAATGCACAATGTTACACGCTCTCACACACCTTCACAATTTTATTTATACCAACCACCCCAACCCGAGTGTGTCCCAGTTTAGAATTCTGAAAATCTGGTCATCCTAGTTTTGTACAAATCTCATAGAACAGGGGACACAGGGTTCAAAACTGGGATTGTTCCGATAAAAAGAAATGTCTGGTCACCCTACTGTAACACCGGCTAAAATATCATAATATATCATCATTCAGGTCAGTTAGCTGCACATTGACATATCAGGCGAACAGCTGTGAGTTATCTGGGTGATCTGTGTGCGCTGTTTCTTAAAAGTGACCATTTTAAACATGACTTCACCTCTGCTGTGACCTGTTGCCGGGTAACTTGCCTCCACTTCCTGTAACGTCAAACCACAGTGGTTTTATTCTGAATGTCTGACACAGAGGTGGAAGAGAAGCAAAAAAGTACATGTTCTGTGAACATTCAAATAATAGTACTTCATTAGAAGTACAAGGAAATGGCCCAAGAAGTAGTAAATTAAAAAGTAATTTAATAAACTTTTCTCACGTCTAGACTTACTCAGAACGGAAGAGAAACCAAAACTTTTACTCAGTAGTGTTACTTAAAATATTTGTTTAGTCTCCTGCAGCTCATCTTCTAACACTACAGCTGCACTCAAACTGTGAGAGATACAAGACTATATTTATACTATAATACTCCCTACAACTGTACAACAACTCAGCCTTATGTAACAGATAATACTCCCTACAACTGAACAACAACTCACATTTATGCAGCAGATAATACTCCCTACAACTGTACAACAACTCACATTTATGCAGCAGATAATACTCCCTACAACTGTACAACAACTCACATTTATGCAGCAGATAATACTCCCTACAACTGTACAAAAACTCAGCCTTATATAATAGATAATACTCCCTACAACTATGCCACAACTCAGCCTTATGTAGTGGATAATACTCCCTACAGCTGTACAACAACTGAGCCTTGTGTAAGAGATAATACTCCCTACAACTGACAACAACTCAGCGTTATGTAACAGATAATACTCCCTACAACTGTACAACAACTCAGCCTTATGTAACAGATAATACTCCCTACAACTGTACCTCAACTCAGCCTAATGTAACAGATAATACTCCCTACAACTGTACCTCAACTCAGCCTTATGTAACAGATAATACTCCCTACAACTGTACAACAACTCAGCCTTATGTAACAGATAATATTCCCTACAACTGTACAACAACTCAGCCTTATGTAGCGGATAATACTCCCTACACCTGTACCTCAACTCTTGCTCTTTTTTGCTACTTATTTAGAATTGATTATTACCATTTATACTTTTACTCTTTGTTATTATATTATATTGTGATGTGTGAGCTACTGTGTCCAAATAATTTCCCTTGTGGATCAATAAAGTTTGCCTAAGTCTAAGTTTAAGTCTAAGCTCTAACAAACGTCCTATTTCAGACATGGACTTAACTATGTTTCAGATACAGACTTATAACCATTCTCCTGTGCTCTTTGTTTTTAGGCCAAGTATCACTGGCAGAGTCAGAATGTGAAGCAGAGTGGAGTGGACGACATGGTGTTGCTCTCCAAGATCACAGAGGACGCCATCGTGGAAAACCTCAAGAAGAGATACATGGACGACTACATCTTTGTATCCTAATGCTCAGAATGAAGGTTCAATCTGGGGCTGTGCCAAAGATCTATGCCCCACTTTCATTTGTCACCCACTCTCGTCTGAAATATTCAAATGGAAACCGCAGTGAGCAAAATGAGACTATAACCACCTCAGATGCATTTTAGAGCTGCTTTTAACCCTCTCAGGCTCAAATAAATTTTTAGTATCAGGAAAAATCTGATATTTGGGGAAAATTATTATATGGCGTAGTAATATACAATCCTGACTTTTTTATCCTTTGTAAAAAAAAAAAAAAGTAGTTTGCACTTCTGGCAGGCCGTTTGCATGTAGCCATTCTTGCACAGTCTGCATCGTCCACGTTTATCAACATGGATGGGAGAAAAGACTCCTGAGTAAAAAAAGCTCATAAAATATGGATGTGGAGTAAGTAGGTAATTGGAATTAAGCTGTTGCAAATCTGCAACACCTGCCTGGAGAGGGTTAAAATATATATGTATAGATTTGTAACAGTCATTTTAATTTTAAAGGTCCATATTACATTATTTTCTGATTTTAGGCTTAATTTAGACTATGTTGTAATGTTGTTTCCTCATCACAAATATTCCTGGAGTTATGTTTTGCTGCATTCACATGTTCTTCTCTCAAACTGAAAACACTCTCTTCCACATTGTGATGTCATGTGGTGATACAGGAAGTGCCCGACTATGTTTTCAAACTTCAAACATCTGGATAATTTCAGCCCTGGAACTGCCAATCTCTACTTAACAAAAGCTTCAAAACGACTGCTTCATGACATCACAAGGTGGAACAGAGTATTTTGAGGTTTGGAGATGTAGACTGACTAATAATAAAAGATTACTCAAACATGTAGGAATGAGACGAAACACAACTCCGGGTATGTTTATGATGAAGTAACAACATTACCACATGCCCACAAAGGTCAATTTTGCGTAATAAAGGACCTGTAAACGGGATTTGGACTTTATCAAGCGTCAAAGCTACATATAAGTACAGGCTATCTGCATCAAATCCTCTTCTTCCTCTTCTGCTCATGTCATAACAGCTCACTTCCGTTTTTGAAAATGCACAGGCCCAAATTTGGAGTGAAGCTAAAACTCTGTAAGAACCTGCAGTTGACATCATTACATTAACCGCACTGCAAGAACATTTAGTATTAAGGTCTTTAGTGATGACTCAAAACAACACTTCCTCTTGGTAAACAAATTTCTTTTTAAAGGTTTTGCAGTGTGTAGGTTTTCTGGTAGAGGGTCTGTCAAATGTGGCAGGAGACCAAAACCATGGAGGTATTTTTGAAGTTTTTGAAGAGGTAACAGCAGTCTAGCACGGCTTAAAGAGAAAGTTCAGAATTTTGGACATAGGATCTCATTTCCTAGTGAGCCAGAGTGTTGGAGACGTGTGGAGACACTTTTTAAAATATTCCATCCAGTCCTTGTATTTGCAGAGGTCACTGATGCTAGGCTAGTGCATGTCAATGGCCATAGTTATTCTGCCACTAAAAACAGTCTTACCCACTCCACAAAACACCCGAAGCAAATCTATTATTACACCAAACTGTCACTGTAAATGTCTGTGTTGATAGAATAATGTTTGAAATAAAACTAACTTTGTATCACATGAATCGTCGCAGGTTGAGGGACTATTTTCTCATATATCAGTCCGCCGCTGCTAAGCTTTCTATCAGGAAGTACAACTCACTGCTGCTGCTCAGACATACATCTTTCAAATGCAAGGTTGGTTTTACTTCTAAAATTATTCTATCAACACAGACATTAACATCGGCAGTCTGGCGTAATAACAGAGTTGCCTATTGTGTTTTGTGGAGTGGGTAAGACTGTTTTTAGTGGCAAGATAGCTATGGCTGTTGACATGCACTAGCCTAGCACCAGCGACCTCTGCAAATACAAGGACTGGATGGAATATTTTAAAAAGGGTCTCTACATGTCTTCAACACTCTGGCTCACTAGCAAATGAAGCCCTTTGTCCAAAATTTCGAACTGTTCCTTTAAGCCATGCTAGAATGTTGTCACTTTTTCAAAAACTTTAAAAATACCTCAATGGTTTGGTCTCGTGCCATACTGTGAAACATTACCGACAAAGCGATAACATCTCTACGGAGAAAAGCATTTGATGGACTCTTCACTAGAAAACCTACACACTGCAAAATATTTAAAAAGAAATACATTTGTTTATTAAGAGGAAGTGTTGTTCTAAGTCATCACTAAAGACCTTGATACTACAGTTCCTGACAAAAGTCCTGTCGCTTATCCATTTTGTAGAAACAAAAGCTTATAACCTGACTTTAAATTAATCGATTGGTTTTAGAAATGTCTCATATGAAAGCTAAAACCCTCCCAAATTATGCTCAATAAACTAAAATAAATTTGCTTCACTGAAGAAAGATTGATCATTTAATGAACACAGAAAGGTCAGATTTTGGCAAGACAAAAGTCTTGTCGCCTACAGAAAATTGAACAAATAATTTACTTCAAATACAAAAATATGTTGCATAACGTCAGTGAATGAAGTAGTGGTGCTGTGAGATCCATATTTAATATCTTGTATGACTTCCGTGAGCTTGAAGGACGCATCCATGCAGTTCGACAATGATTCATACAATTTGTTGATGAAGTCATCAGGAATAGCAAAGAAAGCGTCTTACATGCCTCCCAGAGTTCATCAAGATTCTTTGGTTTTGCCTTCCATGCTTCCTCTTTCATTCTACCCCAGACATGCTCAATGATGTTCATGTCTGGTGACTGGGCTGGCCAGTCCTGGAGCACCTTCATCTTCTTCGCCTTGAGAAACTTTGATGTAGAGATAGAAGTATGCGATGGAGCACCATCCTGCTGCAAAATTTGACCCCTTTTATGGTTGGGAATGTAAGAGGTAGTTAATGCTTCTTGATATTTTAGGTTATTGATATTGCTTTCCACCCTGCAAATGTCTCGCACAGCCCCATACTGGATGGAACCCCAGGCCATGATTTTTCCACCACCAAACTTAACTGTTTTCTGGGTGAATCTTGGATCCATGTAGGTTCCAGTAGTTCTCCTGCAATATTTGCGGCGGCTGTGATGTAATTCAACAGAGGATTCATCTGAGAAATCCACCTTCTGCCACTTTTCCAGTGTCCATCCTTTTAGCAGGCTGTGGGCCTTGGCAAATGCCACACGGTTTTTTAATTGCCTTTTGTTTAGTGCTGGTTTCTGTGCACTGATTCGACTATGGAGGCCATTTCGAGGCAGAATTCTACATACTGTTGTGGTTGACACAGGGACTTGAGGTGACCAGGCCTGGTGGAGTCTGCTGCAGTGGAAAAGGGGCTGGCCTTGGATTTTTGAACCAACAAACGGTCCTCCCCAGCAGTTGTCTTGCGGGGTCTGCCGGACCTGGGCTTGTCAAAAACATCTCCAGTCATTTCAGATCTTTTTCTTATTCTTTGTACTTGACGCTGAGACACATTGAAGGTGTCACCACCTCAGCAGTGGATCTGGTCTTCAGCCTCTTGATAATTAACGCTTTGGTCTCAGGGTGGATCTTAGGCATGTTGTCAGAGGTCAAGTTGCAGTTGATGTGAAGGTCTGGTGTGCTGGGCTTCTTTTTATACACACCCACTAACTGATTGATCAGTTACTGATCACAGGTGAGGCTGTAATCTAGGATTGGGTGCATCATATGACAAGGCGACAAGACTTTTGTCTTGCCAAAATCTGACCTTTCTGTGTTCATTAAATGATCAATCTTTCTTCAGTGAAGCAAATTTATTTTAGTATATTGAGCATAATTTGGAAGGGTTATAGCTTTCATATGAGACATTTCTAAAACCAATTGATTAATTTAAAATCAGGTTATAAGCTTTTGTTTCTACAAAATGGATAAGCGACAAGACTTTTGTCAGGGACTGTAAATGTTCTTGCAGTGTGGTTAATGTAATGTAATGGCTCACTACTAAATGAGGCCCTATGTCCAAAATTCTGTCCCTTTTTAGCTCACCAGAGTCAGTTTTGTGTAATCTGGGACCTTTTTGAGAATTTAATCTGTAATAAAATGCAGTTATATATGTTCAGTAGTAAATTGAATGACTTCAGTTGGTCGTCTCCAAGTAGCCTGTTTAAGTAGTTGGAACTACGCTTGGTGTAGTTTCTTCATTTACATGCAGCCACAGTGTCTGCATGTGTCTGTATTATTACACTGAGCTGATGACACATAACAAAGAAGTGGAGGCAGGTAAAAAAAAAAGTACCAGTGTAGGCTCTATGCAAATATATCACCCAAAACCAGACAAACTTATCAGTATTTTTGCTCACTGGAATCAGATTAAGGTCTTTTAGATTAAAATGTAAACTCAATAAATAAACACACAGTAAAACAGTGATTAGACAGTGAGTAAAACAATGAATTCAACTCAGTTCATAAGCCTTTATACCTAGAAAGCAGCTAAGATGTAAGTGTAAAATGTATCAACACCAAATCTACTTTTCAGAGCTTTTAAGTTGTATTTGAAATGATTTGTGCATGCTTTAGTACCGGTAACCTTTAATCGCTTATTTTCAAGAAGCCATTTTGCCTATATTTCCCATTTTCTTTGCCACCAGTTCACATCCTTTGTTTTGCAGTTCCTTCATTCTCCAGTTTTATTTTCTTAAACAGTGATGTATGTAGGATTTGGCAGCGCTGCGTCGTCATTTTGGTACAAATGAGTAAAAATCTGCTACTTGCTTGTGTGGTCTGTAACTAGGCTCTTCTGGGTTCATTTTGTCTCGGTTTTAAAGTAAGACATAAACATTCTTTTGGTCAGACAGGAGAATCTGTTTACCAGTCCCCTGCTGTGTGACGCTTTCTGCAGGACTGCATCATGTGTGTGTGTGTGTGTGTGATAAACTGTGACGAGGGAGCGTGCACCTTACCACACACGCGGGATGCAGTCCTGGTGAACAAACTCTAAAACAATCGCGCTTTCTTTTCACCTTATTCTGGAAGTTGCAAAGTTCATTATGGACTGTAAAGCCATTTTAAAGCCATCAGAGAATTGGTGCGGTGTTGACTTGTTGTTGGGTGTGCAAAAATATTGAAATATCGATATATTGTATCATTAAATGTGGTGATACTATAGGCTGCTGTACTGATATATCACCAAGAGTATTTTTTGATATATTTTACTAAATAATTTTGTTAAAACGCTACAGTTTTGTTTCTTGTTCAGAGGACGGAAACTTGTTTATGCGACACATTTGATATTTTTACTGTTTTGAGGATTAAAATGTGTGTTTCAGATTCACTTTGCACAAGAAGTGGTTTAACAAAGACTTTGAGTATCACAGCCATGATTTTGAAATTATTTTTTATTGAACCATATCGAATCCATTTGAAATATATCATATCAAACTGAACGTGGACTGTATCAAGATATGTATCGTATCGTGGCCTGTGTATTGAGGTATGTATCATATCGGCAACTTCTTAATGAGACCCAGCCCTACTTGTCGGTGCACAGGAAAACTGAACATTTTACACAAATGAACTGACTTTATGTCATGTTTAAGATGCAAAATGTTTCCCAAATTCTCTACTGACATGAATCGGCTCCCTGTTTAACTGGAAGTAGCACCACAAAAAAACTTATTTAAGAGCGTTTAGAGACTAAAGTGGGCCCAGTGGAATAAGGTGGATCTCCATAGAGGGGCTACCAGCTGCATGTTTATGGTGGTGTCAGCTCCCACTGGGCACCACAGTTTTCTAATACAGAAGTCAGTTAATTTGTTTTTTTTTTATTAAATCATTTTAGATCAATATTGCAATTGAAAATGTCCAAATTATAACGTTATGATCCAGATCCACAGATGTCAACAATTATAACTATGTAACAGACACACAATAGGTCTTCTTTAACCACAATATTCCAACCGAGTGAATGTCTGACACCTTTCTTTTCCGAAATGCATTATTATTGAGTCAGGATATGAGACAAACTATTTGCAGTTAATGTTGTCACAGTAGTAACATTTCAGAGTTGATTTTGATATAAAGTCTAATTAAAGTTTTCTTCTTTCCATTCCTTTTTAGGCAAATGTAAAGATGCATGTTTTGTTGTTGTTCTTATTGCTGTATGTGATTGCTCTACACTTGCCTCCTTGACCTGCGTGTTTAGACTTACATTGGCCCTGTGTTAATCTCAGTAAACCCGTTCAAACAGATGCCCTACTTCACTGACCGAGAGATCGAGCTGTACCAAGGAGCTGTGAGTAAAACCAAATATTCTCCTACTTTGACATATTATTAAAGGTGCAATGTGTAACTTTTTGGATGGGGGTCCATCACCTGCTTGTTTTTATGGAGATATCACTGCTCTGTCTGGAAGGTTTCACAGGAGGACATTCAACACCTCTACCTTATATTTATCAGTTACAAATGGTTTTAGAGCTCAAAATACTTAGAAAACAAACATTCTGAATGTGAGCAGGGTCGCCTCTCCACAGTTCTGCCCTGTAATTTGGTCTGATTTGGTCTCCATGAAGATAGAAAGATTTAATGCTGTGAAACATTCCAGGTAATCTGCATGGGGAAAAGCATTTGAATGATCCTTCACCGGAAAAGTTACACAATGCATCTTTAATATTACATTATAATAACAAATGTTAATCTCTGCACATTTTTTCATTTTCCATAGGCCCAGTATGAAAACCCTCCTCACATCTATGCACTGTCTGACAATATGTACAGAAACATGATGATTGACGGAGAAAACCAATGTGTTATTATAAGGTATTATTGTATTATACAATACAAATATACACGTTGGAGAGAAAAAAGATACAGTTATATACATATTTTCAAATGTTTGTGTATTTTTTGCATTTCTATCAAATTATTTCAAATGTATTAATTTTATAAGCACAAGAAGTGTGCATGTATCTAGTACATGTATCATCAACACAAAACAGTTCATCTGTTGTTCTTGTGTGTAGTGGTGAAAGTGGTGCAGGAAAGACTGTGGCTGCCAAATACATTATGGGCTACATTTCCAAAGTATCAGGAGGCGGATCCAAAGTGCAGGTAAGATTTAAAGTTGCATTGCATAACTTTTCTGCTAGTCTCCATGGAGATAGCTTTGTCTGCAGTGTTCCATAGTATGACCTTGAATGTTTTCACAAAACTGACTCTTGTGCACTATAAGCCATGTTATAATACTGTTGCTCAAAATGTTCTGTTCCACCTTGTGATGTCATGTAGTGGTGGCTTTCATGTTAACAGCTCCTTTTACCTTTTGTTCAGTAGACACTGGCAATTCTAGGATCTCGGTGGAGATAAATACATTAGTACATACATACAAATTGATTTTATTCATACTGTGGAACATTCCAGGCAGAGGAAAAATGAGCAGGTGACAGACCTTTCACCAGAAAAATTACACAGTGTATCTTTAACTGGTTTGAATAGGGCTCACAAATAGTATTCCGATGAGTACTGCGTCATACATATTTCTGTGTTGTATTTTATTTCTTGTATTCTTTGTTTTTGTAGCATGTTAAAGATATCATCCTTCAGTCCAATCCACTGCTGGAAGCTTTTGGAAATGCTAAAACTGTCCGCAACAACAACTCCAGTCGATTTGTGAGTCAACTGCTACTATTGCTGCTATGTTGTTACTAATATTTTTGTCATTTATAAGAAAAAGCCTCAGTTTTAATTTGCAATCTCTCAGAACTATACGATCTTTTTGTGGTTGAGGAAGTGTCCTCAAGTATGATCACAGTTTATCTCCATAGAGGTATATATAGACCGCTGCCTTCCATTTGAAATGATGTCATCCTTCAACTCTTGACACCATGAATGCAACATAAAATTGAGTAAAGCTGTCTTTTATGCTTGCTAATTTATTTATTTTCTTCCTTTTTTAGGGAAAATATTTTGAAATTCAGTTCAGCAGAGGAGGAGAACCTGATGGCGGGAAAATTTCAAACTTCTTGTTGGAAAAGTCTCGAGTCGTGAGCCAAAATGAGAATGAGAGAAACTTCCACATTTATTATCAGGTCAGAAAACAGCACTTAAATCTATGTACAACAACCACCTACGTACATATTATTATACTGCAGGTGGAAAAGAAATTATAAACTTAACTCAACTTAAAATTTTAAAAAGTACTATGTCTGTCTGTTGTCATGAAATGTTTTTCTACATAAATTAGGTATTTTATGTGTAAAAAATTTGCATATCTGACATATGATCTAAAAAGTGTATAGAGACAGGTTTAAATTTCACCTGCTTTATTTTTTGAGATATTGGATACAAAAAAAATTAAGAAGATTTGGGATATATATATATTTTTTCTAGTATTTGAATGAACTAGATTTGTCTAGAAATTTGTCTAAAAAATTTTTTCACTTTTGCCAATTTATTTTATTTTTTTTTTTTCAAACTTAGCCATAGAATTAGACATTAACAAATCAAATTGTTAAGTACATGATTGGAAAGTTTTAGTATGGAGATGCTTTTAAAGTGTATGGTGGTGCTTTTTATGTCCCTATGTGAGAAAAATGCATTGTGAGAAATTATAAAGTCCCACAAAATAATATCAAATGAAATAATAAAACATGTTTAGTTGTTTTATTTCAGAATTTACATATTTTAAGACAAAAGTGACCGAGTGTCTGGTCTTTCTCATGCTTTGTGTTTGTGCTGTTCTCCTCCAGTTGCTAGAGGGCGCCAACGCACAGCAGAAGGAAGGCCTGGGCATCATGACTCCTGACTATTACTACTACCTCAACCAGTCTGGCACCTACAAAGTGGATGGGACCAATGACAGCAAAGACTTTCAGGAAACTATGGTACAAACAACAAACTGCATTTACTCAAACAACTCATGAGCATTTAAAAGAAACATTTGTAAAATTAACTGTAACTGTAACTGATCACGTGGTCTGGGCAAATTTGTATCGAACTGAGGTCCAGCCGTTTGAAATTGTCTATTGTCTATTTACTCAAATAAAACAAAATGGTAAATACTAATGAGTTCAACCTTCTGATGAAAAAAAAAAAAAAAAAAAAAAAAAAAAAAAGTGTAATTTCTGTGTAATTTAGGTTGATAAAATGACTATCCAAATACTGTATATACATTTGTTTTTGAAGATTTTTTGAGCCAGGTGATTATGTCTTTGTCTGGAATATCCCACAGTATGGTATTAAACTAATCTAGCTTTGTAGAGACAAGCAGGTGAGGCTACCAGGTCAGGTTACAGGTCAGATCTGTGAAGAGGCAACCCTGCTCACATTGAGAATTCAAGTTTTACTTTGCAACGTAACATTTGTAACTGATGTGTAAGGATTTGATTTGTAGTACAGTTGACCTAAGTGAAGCTGAAGCGATCCAACTTGAGGTCAGTTTGATCATTGTAAAAGTTCAAATCCAAATCCACTTTATTTCTACAGCACATTTTACAAACAAAGCAATTTCCAAAGTGCTGCACAGAGATCATAAAATGAAGACAACAAAATTTGGTCATACCAGTACTAAAACAATAAAATAAAACCAGTAAGATCAAACAAAAGCAAGACCAAAATAGCAGTAAATAAGTCAAATAAATAAAAGACAAAGGACCACACAACTCATGCCGTGTTAAAAGCCAGAGAATAAAATTGGGTCTTAAGATGAGACTTAAAACACTCCATTCTGGTGGCTATTTACGGAAAAAATTGATTTTGACATAATATTTGATTACTAAATTTGCTGACAATTATTTCAATCGATTAGTTGTTATTTATCTGATTAGTTGCTGTTAAGATTATCATGGTACCATTGTTCTTCCCCCAGTGGCTTTAAAGACATGTCTAATTACTTTTTTCCAGTAAGAAAGAAACATGTCCTTGTGACTCCTTCTCTCTTCACACAGCTCAGCCTAAAGTCAAATCCATGTTTACTCTGGCCTGTATGTACCTGTATGTGCTGGTTTGCATGGCTTTTTTTTTTACTCCTTAAAAAAACATTGTTCACATGAAAAGCAAATAAGGTGGTATATCCCATTTATCATCCTGCCAGTGTGTTTCTAAAAGGTGCATTGTGAGGGTCTGAGATACTATTGTTTGTCTACAGCTACGTTTATATGGTGACAGTCTGAACAGAAGACACAATAGTGGCGTTTTCGGAAGGAAATCTGCATGCATACATGTGGAATTTGATTGGGTATGCATGCCAGGCGGCGAGGAGGTGGCGCTGGGTGGTGATGTATGTGACATAAACGTGTACATGACGTGTACATGACAGCAGATCTGACCAGAGTTTTGCGTCTTGGGCAGTGTAGACGGAAACGCTACGGTGGAGCGTATTCAACTTTTCCACTCTGGAGGGTGGTTTCAGATATTTGCATTTTTAAGCCCCAAAAACACTGTCACTGTCTAAATGAAAGACACTTCCGGTAAAATATTTTGTCGTTTTTACCTGCAAGCTTTCTCATGTAAACAGGCCCTACATTTCCAAAGATCAAAATGTTCTCTTCCACCTTGTGATGTCATGAAGCGGTAGTTTTCTTGTTAAGAGCTACTGTACCTTTTACCTTTAGTTCAGTCGAGATTGGTAATTCCAGGGCTGAAATCATCCAAATGATTCTAGTGAAGGTTTATGGAATTTGAAAACACAGTTGAGGACTTCTTGTATTATCACTTGACATCACAAGATGGAACAGAAAGTTTTCAGTTTGAGAGAATAACTCTCAAAATAAATATGCAGGATTTGTGTGTTAAACGTGTGAATGAAACAAAGCGCAACTCCAGGTCTGTTTTGTAACATAGCTCAAAAATAGTGCTATATGAACCCTTTAAAGGTAAACCTATCTAACTGTTGTGTCTTTTGTGTTTTTCGTGCAGGAGGCCATGCATGTGATCGGTATCCCAGTGCAGGTGCAGGCGCAGGTGCTCCAGATCGTGGCTGGGATCCTCCATTTGGGAAACATCAGCTTCATCGAGGCTGGAAACTATGGCCAAGTGGAGAGCACAGACTGTGAGTTCACACCCCAACACCCAACCCTTCAGATAACAGCGTCCATGTTTACTCTAGCACAAAGAGACGCCTGTCGCAATACACACAACTATAATGTCATGTTTTCCATTTATTTAAACAGCTCATATTACGCTATTTTTTAATCTGTGTTATAATATTGTTTCCTCTTCACAAACATGACTGGAGTTGTGTTTTGCTTCATTCACACATGTTTAACACACAAAACCTGCAGACTCCAACCTGAAAACACTCTGTTCCCAATTATGATGTCATGTGGTGATACAAGAAGCACTCCACTGTTTTTTTAAACTCCAAACACCTTCACTAGAATCATTTGGATGATTTCAACTCTGGAAAACTAGCTGGTAACTTGAAAACTACCACGTCATGACATCATAAGGTGGAACAGAGCATTTGGAGATGCAGACAGGCTATTAATAAATGATTACTCAAACTTGTAACTTGTTTTTGAGGAGATAACAACATCATAACACAGCTTAAAGCTCATAAATCAATTTTGCGTACTATAGGACCGTTAACTAAGGCTTTAACTAAGGCTGTGTTCAGACAGCAGGGCTTAATGCTCAATTCGGATTTTTTTGTGGAATCCAATTTTTTTGCGTGGTCGTTCACATTTCCAATTAAATGCAACATGTATGTGATCTCCAGTGTGAACTTTAAATGCCCCGAAAGTGTCCTGCATGTGCATTGGAGTACACTAGTCCTAGGAAGTAGCCTAAACTCTGAGCCTGTCTCCCAAAATATGGTTCAGTTCTTCGTAAAATGAACAGGTTACATGTCCACGGCCGCTTTGTTTGTTTGTCTTTAGCCTCCTTGTACTCTTTATTTTTTGTTAACATTGGAGCCAGGACCCCCTGTAGCCGCGCTCGGACATTTCTTTGGCAATCATTTCAAAAAACTCCCGGTTCCGATAAGACCCCTCCAGTTTGGCCTGAATACAGCGATCCCCCCAGATATTAATGAACTCACTAACCTCGCTTTCTCTCCATTGACGAGACTTGGAGGCTTACTCCAAGGTGGGATGAATGTGACCTGGCCGTTCAGACTGAAGTCGCGTGTCAAAAAATTGTATATGTATCAGTTTTAGGAGCACATATCCAAGTGGCTTGTATCTGTGTCACTTCAGGCTACAGTCTAAATGTAGCCTAAATGTGCAGGGCAGTTTGTCTGTTCTGAAACCTCAAATTAAATTTACAATAACATATATGTGAGAATTCTACTGTAATATGCGTAGGAAATATTGTAATTAAACTGATTTTTCCACTGTCTCTTAACTGTCCATCTGCGTCTGTAAATTGGCTGTGTGTCTCCTCGGGGACAGGAGGAGTTACGTTGGGCATGAGCTTGTCCTCCCCAAAGACCTTGGCTAATTAATACTTCTGTTTGTCTAGTCTCAGCTTTGAACTTCACTGCAGATACTGAATATAATTGGTGTTTACCTTTAGGCAGTCAGACATTGCACTGGTATTATTTATTAAAGACACAAAATATACAAAAAACAACCGCCACCAATGGCTACATTCATACACTCTGCAGAATTAATAGAAATCACATCAAAATTGCAGTTTAACAGTTAGCAAGACATACTGTATTTCTGTCTTTTTTGTGAATTTTTCTGGACATGTTTTAACAGAATCCTGTTATTAAAATAAATAGCAAATCTATCCATAATCACAGTGCTTAGAAAAATCATTTATTTTTATGTACAAATTTTTTTAGCAATCGTACATCACTCTGGGAAAGGTTATGCAGGAAAGGTCCCTCATCAAACCAGTTTTTATTATTATTATTTGCGTTACTCCGTCACCCTGGGAAATGTTACGCATTTCAACACATTAGGGCTGATTATCATTCAGAAGTTGCCGATGCCTGAGATGGGGACTTGCAAGTCGTGACTTGGACTCAAGTCAGACTTGAATCACTATTTTTAGGACTTGAGACTTGACTTGATAAAAATGGATCAAGACTTGGGACTTTACTTGGACTTGAAGGTTAATGACTTGGGACTTGACTTGGGCTTGAACCTTGCGACTTGAGAAAACTTGATGCTTCTGCTAAAAAAATATATGTTTCTAGAAAATAATTTTCTCTTTACAGTTGATACATGCAGTGCTTAATTTTACAGGAACAAACTTCAACATATCCCTCCCACTTCTCCAAATTGTGTAACTTTGGATGTAACTGTAGTGCTGTAGTGTAATATGGTATCCTCAAAGGTCTTACAGTTACAGTACAGTAAAATAGATCCTTCCATTTCAGAGCAGACTACATGACATGACAAAATATTTAGCACTTTTAAATTTTAATTCTTTCTGTTCTGACCATAATGATTCACACTAAGATCTTGTCAAGACATTTAAAAAGGAAAAAAGTGCATTCCTACAACTCTTATATAAATACTCATAACTAAATATACCATGACTTTTTAAGTACAATTTAGTTTAAGTCATATAAATTGCAAAAATCTAAGCTATATTTGGTATTTTGGTCTGAAGACTTGAAATGACTTGAAGCTTAAAGCAAGACGACTTGGACTCGACTTGGACTTGCCTGTATTTGACTTGGAACTTGACCCGGACTTGAGGTCAAAGACTTGAGACTGACTTGAGACTTGCAATACAACGACTTGGTCCCACCTCTGACCGATACAATACATACCTCGATACAGTACACTTTTGGTTTGATACGATATATGGTTCAATAAAAAATAATGGCAAAATCATGGCTGTGATACTAAAACGTCTTTGTTAAACCACTTCCTGTGCAAAGTGAATATGAAACACACCCATTTTACTCCTCAAAACAGTGAAAATATGAAATGTGTTGCATGAACAAGTTTCCTTCCTTTAAACAAGCAACAAAACTGTAGCGCTGTTACAAAATAATGTAGTAAAATATACCAAAAAATACTCTCGGCGATACATCGATACAGCAGTCCCTGATATTGATACTGTATTGTTACATTATTTATATTTTGATATTTTTGCACACCCCTAACATCCATACTATTTTCTGACTGGTCCTTACATCTTATGATTTTTCTGTGGGTTGTAAATTTGTAAAAATTTTTTCCAGTGTTGGCGTTCCCTGCATATCTGTTGGGCATAGACCCGAGCAGACTCCAGGACAAACTGACCAGTCGGAAGATGGATTCCAAATGGGGCGGAAAATCTGAGTCGATAAACGTAACTCTGAACCAGGAGCAGGCCACATACACCAGGGACGCCCTCGCCAAAGCCCTCTACGCCAGGCTCTTCGATTATCTGGTCGAGGTACTCCAGGATCTGATTCATGGAGTGAGAAAGTGAGAAAGTTCACACAGAAAATGACATTAAGATTTATTTTTTGCTTTAGGCAATTAACGGAGCGATACAGAAGCCCCATGAAGAGTTCAGCATTGGAGTTTTGGACATTTACGGTTTTGAGATCTTCCAGGTCAGTCTCTTTAAAATAGTATCGAGTTGTACAGTAGAGTAGAGAGATTGTTCAGGACTGTTGCCCTGGCAATTAATAATTCAAATAGTGATAGATGATACTGACAAAAATGTGGGTTTATTGAGATTACGATCTTAAAGGAGCACTAACTTTTTTATTGCCAAAATGAATAAAAATTAAAATAAAATAAACATACATTCTGGCTATGAACAAGGTCGCCTCTCCAAAAATCTCACCTGTAACTTGGCCCAGATGATCTTACCTGTGTGTCTCCATGGAGATAAATAAATTCAGTGCCATTATGTGGAGCAATCCAGTCAAAACCATGATGTTTTTATGGAGACTAGAAAAGTTAGTGCACCTCTAAAACCTTATTATTGGAAATCAATAAATGTGCTGCTTTTTGCTATTCTACATTTTTATTACTATCACCGCTGAAATATTCATAATTGATAATATTATAATCTTTAAATTGACAAAAGACCCACAATACTGTATGTGTCGCAATGCTTTAAGATGTAGAATGTTGTATTACTGACAATGTTTTTTTGTTTCCTCAAAAGAAAAATGGTTTTGAGCAGTTCTGTATCAACTTTGTCAACGAGAAACTACAGCAAATCTTTATCGAGCTGACCCTGAAGGCTGAGCAGGTACTTTAATCATTTGTTATTATTATACATTCTTAAATACAGTATAAATGAAACATGTTACAACTACCAGTATGTGTTCTTTTTCATAGGAAGAGTACGTGCAAGAGGGAATCAAATGGACTCCTATTGAGTATTTCAACAACAAAATCGTGTGTGACCTGATAGAAAACAAACTGGTAAGCTTTAGATAGGCACAGGGCTGCATATGTCTACCTGTCTTGTTGCTATAGTGACTCCACAACCTTCATTCAAAGCTTATCTTGTGTGTATATTTAGGTTTGTATAATGTTTGAGCAAGGTACAATTTCTATTGTAAAACCAACCTACTGAAAGTTTCCATTCTCATGCTGCCAGTTGGAGTAATAAATATGTGTGATATGTGAAGTGTTCTCTGGTCACTGTTTTGTATTGACTCTGTAAAATACATAATTTCGGTAACACTTTATTTTAGGATGCCCTTATTAACACCTAACTACCTGCTACCTGCTTAATTAATATTTATTCAGCCCTTATTAATGTCTAATTCCTTCATAAGCTTATTCTCCTATTAGTTACATATTAACAAACATTTTCCTATTAATACACTCCTTATTACTGCTCATTAAATATGACAGTAGGAAATATTTGTCCATGAATTATGAGTCTAATAAACTTTTAGCGCAAATAAATAAAAACTAAATTTCTTGTGCTATTTGTCCTTAACAACACAATTTTATTAAAATCATAATTCATATACAAAAATGGCCTAGTATCATATTAATAAGTAGTAATAAGAAGTGTATTAATAGGAAAGTGTTTGTAAATATGTATTAATAACAGAATAAGCTTATGAGGATTTAGACATTATTAAGAGCTGAATAAATACTAATTAATGACAATTTAACTATTTACAACTATGCTAATTAGCAGGTAGTTAGATGTTAATAAGTTACCATAATTTCTTTTTAATGTTGAGATTTAGACCTCCACCAAGGCAGTAGCTTCAATTTTTTCGATTTTTTTTCAAGGAGCTGTAACAGATTTTTACTATCTTAAAAATATGAAAAACAAAACTATTTTGTTTTAAACACTTTGCAATGGTCCAAAGTTATTCGTCACTTACCTTATGCATTCTGAGCATCCTAATTATTCACCCCAATGAGTTTATGCAGGTGTTTCACACCTTTCTGAGACCTAAGAGACTAATGGTGCACTTCCTGATTATCGGACAATGTAACACTTTCTAATTAGATGCAGACAATATACAAAATGTATAACAGATGGGCCCCACCTCTTCATAGTGGCATTTCACAATAACTAGTCATATTTTTTACACCTACATGTCTGATCCAGAGTTTGATTTATTTGAATAATCACAAAAACAACTCAAATACGACTTAAAGTAAGATAAAGATGCATGAACACTTTTATAGTTTGGATAAAAGGTCATAGGAGCTGAATGTTGTAGATTTTTCCCTGTAACCTAAGACCCACTTTTATTCTCTGGCTTTGTGTGGTCCTCAGTGTCTTTTATTTAATTTTTATATTATTTCATAAATTTTATGGGTTTGCTTTTTTTAGAACTGGCAAGGTTAAAGGTACACTTTTCGGTTGAGAGTCCATCACCTGCTTGTTTCTACAGAAATGTCATTGCTCTGCCTGGAATGTTCCACAGTATGACATTAAACAGCTCTACCTTAAATTTATTCAATTACAGGAGGTTTTATAGCTCAGAAATCACTAGAAAAACTGACATTCTGACTGTGAGTGGGGTCACCTGTCCACAAATCTGACCTGTAACTTGGTCTGGTTTGGTCTCCATGAAGCTAACATTTGTATAGAGAAAAGCATTTGACGGACCCTCCACCAGAATAATTGCACCTTTAATTCAGCATTTATACCCTCCGCTGTATAGCTTGTTTGTAATTGTTGTAATTTTTTAATGTAATCTTTATATGTGCGGCATCTGTTTTATTTATAAAATGTGCTGATTTGGATTTTTGTAACCCTTCTCCACCTGTCGGTCTGCAGAACCCGCCCGGTATCATGTCAGTTCTGGACGATGTTTGTGCCACGATGCACGCCAAAGGAGAGGGAGCTGACGGGACTCTGCTGCAGAAGCTCCAGGCGGCTGTGGGGACCCATGAGCACTTTAACAGCTGGAACTCAGGCTTCGTCATTCACCACTACGCTGGGAAGGTACTGTACAAGTCCACAACCAACCAACCAACCACATAACACTGCACTGATTATATTGCAATTATCAAGATCAGAATTTTGATCTTATCATGATTCATGTAATTTTTGTATCATTGTGTTGTACATCTATTGGCAGAATGTTCACCAGTTACCGCAATGCACACATATACAAACACTGACAAAAAAGTAAAAAAAAATAAAAAAATCTCAGGACAAAATACAAAATGGATTTAAACAACACATTTTCAGGAGTCTCTGTTGAGTCTGAAAACGAGTGTTCATGGTCCTGTTGAGGCAGGGGCAGATTGGCAAGCTGACAGTGGGCACGGCCATAGAGCTTCTAACAAAGTAGTGCTTTCAGTTTGCTTCAATGCTTCCAGGGAATGTTGATAACATCATCTGCAAAGTATCAATAAAGTACTAGTGCATTCATTTCCTGGACACCGATCTTATCCTTAACCATACTCTCTCTACTTGCCACTCCTTAACCTAAACCTCTGTGTTAAATAGCCACCCACCAAATTAAAAGTTTAAACTAAACCTGCAACAAAACCTGGACTAGACCAGTACTAAACCAAGACTAAAACAGGATCAAACCAAGTCTACACATGGACTAAACTGGGCTAAAACCACAAGTGCACACAAAGTAAAAAAGGTGACAAAAGTCAACTTCCTCTTCATTTACGCTCTTGCATAAGCATTTTAACCAAAAAAACAAAAAAACAAGCTCATCAAGGTTTATGCCAATGACATGGAGACAAGCAGACTTCTCACGTGAAAAGCAGAATTAATCCACTAAATGAATTCACTAAAACACTAGATCGTCACATGGATCAGCTTATGCTTCTGTTCCATCCTCCAATCAGTTCTGTAGTTTTGTTTTTCTTCTCAGCCTGACTCCTCTGGTCTCTGTTCTTCTGTTTGTGTCTCAGGTCTCTTATGATGTGGTCGGCTTCTGTGAGAGGAACAGGGACGTGCTGTTTCCAGACCTCATCGAGCTCATGCAGAGCAGTGAATAGTGAGTCCCTCTGTCCCTCTGTCCCTCTGACTGTTAAAGGAGATGGATCTGATTTTAGCGACTGGTGAAAATCAGGATCTAATATATCATATCTGTATTACTAGTACGGATTTTCAGCATTTGATTTTTATTGATTGATATCTCAATACATGGGTCACAAAGTTATGGTACAATTTTGTGTTCGGGACAATATATACCATATATGTTTTGGGTGGAGGGTCCAAAACCTTCTAGTCTCCATGGAGATGTGCTTTTCCTAGAATGAGCCACATGGCATTTAACTCATCTATTTTTTTTTATTGCTAAAAATATAAAAATATGTTCCACAGAATGGGACAAATCTTAGCAGTCTCCATGGAGACAAGCAGGTGACTCCTCCAAACCAAGTAGGACTATTTGTTTTGTTTGTTATCAATGAAAGACCTGTAATGCATTTAATTCCTGTATTGCAGATTTATTTGTGAAATATTTGTAATATACGTTACACTTTTGTCCACAGTGACTTTATCCGGAGTTTGTTTCCTGAAAACCTCAACACTGATAAGAAGGGCAGACCCACCACAGCAAGCTCCAAGATCAAGGTAAAACTTCATGTACAGATTTTTGTTTTTTAACTTTATTTTAAATCATTTATACAATCTCTTTCTTTCCCCTAAAGAGACAAGCCAATGACCTGGTGAACACGCTGATGAAGTGCACTCCTCACTACATCCGCTGCATCAAACCCAACGAGACGAAGAGGCCCAAAGACTGGGAGGAGAGCAGGTCAGCTGCATCTATGAGAGGAACAAATACAACATTGTACCAGTATTTTAAAATTGTATATTTCCGTTTTTTTTATTTCAGAGTGAAGCATCAAGTGGAGTATCTGGGTCTGAGAGAGAACATCAGAGTCAGAAGAGCTGGATTTGCCTATCGACGACTGTTCAACAAGTTTTTAATGAGGTCAGTTTGATCATAAGTTATTTTTGCCTTATAACTATTACCTTAAAGTAACACCTTTTGGAATTGCCATATCACCTCCTTGATTTCATGGAAACATAAAGTTAAAGCCATACTTCAGGGCATTTTGCATAGACATAGTTAAGTAGAATGACTTTATCTTTATCATTTTCCTGTTTCTGTCTCCTCAGATATGCAATCCTCACAGCAGAGACGTGGCCATATTGGAGGGGTCCGGAGCAGCAGGGGGTCCTCCACCTGCTGCGCTCGGTCAACATGGACACAGACCAGTACCAGATGGGACGCACCAAGGTCTTCGTCAAGAACCCAGAATCGGTAACACGGATTCATATATTCAAAGGGCCTATATTATTTCCTGATCTATGTTGTCTCCTCATCAAAAATATACCTGGACTTACTGTGTTTTTAAACTTCATACACCTTCACTAGAAGTATTTGGATAATTTCAGGCCCGGAATTGCCAATCTTTACAGAACAAAAGGTAAAAGGAAGCTGGAAAATCTATCACTGTGTAATGTCACAAGGTGGAACAGAGCATTTAGATCTTTGGAGACACAGACAGACTAATTGTTACTCAAACATATGTGAATGAAACAAAACACAATTTTAGGTATGTTTTTGAGGAGGTAACAACATTGTACCACGATTTAAAGCTCACAAGAGTAAATTTTAGGACCTTTAATTTCAGTAACATCTTTATTTCAGAAATGTATCGTTCATGTTAGAATTCGGCAGACCTCCAAAAACAGCAACCTCCTTAGATATAAACATTAAAATTTCACCTTTGTCTTAAATAAAATAGAACTATCCTTTTTCCTGTTTGTAGCTTTTCCTTCTGGAGGAAATGAGAGAGAGAAAGTTTGACACTTTTGCTCGGATCATCCAAAAAGCCTGGAGACGCTTCATCGCCAGGAAGAAGTACGAGCAGATGAGAGAGGAGGGTGAGTCTTCAGCACTGGCAATTTGTGTTTAAAATATAAAAGAGGTTCTTGCATTAAAAACAAATAAACATGATTTTTACAATGACATTTAATTCTCCCAAAATTTTACTGCTACAGGATTGACTAAAATTAAAACAAAATGCCCCAAGTTTATCATCGTAATCTGCAAACATCTTGATTATGATTTGATTAAAACTGTATGAATTGCACAGGTATATTTTTATAGTATATTTCTTGTCTTTACTCCTTCCTCTGTCCCCAGCCTCGGACATCCTTTACAACTCTAAAGAGCGGAGGAGAAACAGCATCAATAGAAACTTTGTTGGGGATTATCTCGGTTTGGAGCAGAGGCCTGAACTACGACAGTTTTTAGCCAAAAGAGAAAGAGTGGACTTCGCTGATTCTGTCAACAAGTTCGACCGAAGATTTAAGGTGAAACTTTATTTATTTCTGCTGCAACTTTTCTGATGGAGGATCCTTATTGAGATGTTACTGCTTTTCCTGGAATGCTCCACAGTTAATGAATCTATTAATCTATCTTCATGGAGACAAGGAGGTAGAATCACAACGCCAAGTTACAAAGTTCAGATATGCGGAGGCTTGACCCTGCTCACAGTAATGCAACTAGAGCTTAAGTATGTGTGTTTTTTGAGCAGTAAAACAAAAATACAATACATACATACAGAATAGAGTTTGTTTAATGCCATATTGTGGAACATTCCAGGCAAAGCAATAACATTTCCATAGAGAAAAGCAGATGGCGAATCCACCACCAGTAAAGTTACATAGTGCATCAATAAATAACATCAAAATTGACCCTGAAAAAGAACTAAACCTGAAACAAAATCTGGATTAAACCAAATCTAAACTAGGACTAGAACAGACCAAACCAAGTCTAAATCAGGACTAAACTTGGCTCAAATCAGGACCAATCCAGAACAAGTGTGACTGCATTCCTAATACATTTTAATGTAGTTTAATTTCCTGTTTTTAGTCGATCAAGAGAGATCTGATCCTGACCCCTAAAGGCATCTATTTGATTGGACGAGAGAAGGAGAAGAAGGGGCCGGACAAAGGCCTGATAAAGGAAGTGCTGAAGAGAAAGTTAGAGTTTGGAAGCATCAGTGGAGTCTCGCTCAGGTAATAACTGCATACAAGTTTACGATTAAAAGGTATAATTTTCTGTCAGACAATATCACAACATTCAGGCCGATAATAATTCATAATTCTAATGTAATGTAGCTAGTTCCTGGGTTTAGTCAGTAAGAGAAATAATCAGGTTCAACATTTGTGAATTTACCTTTTGGATGATTCATGACAGTACAATATAATCAATAGGAAAACATCCCTTTCCCCTTGTCAGTGAGTATGACATGATTAAATCTAAAATTTTTCAGATCAGAAAGATTAATAGTCAGGGAGCCAGACCCCTCCACTGCGATTATTTTGCTACCTTTTGGGGACTAGAGGAAGTTTTTTATAATTCCATGCTGAGATATCTATAATCATTTAGTTTCTGGAGAGGATTTGTGCTTGAGAATGCAATTTTTAATATTTATTTCTATAAATGGTCTAATAACTATAAACATAAATACATAAACCCATGTAAGGTTATACTGTTGTATTCCTCATCATGTCAGGATTCTTTGTTCCAAATTTCACGACTATATGACGCTGTATGTGACTGTGGCTCCCAGACTATAAGGTTTTGGTTCACTTTATTGTCCCCTAAGGAAATTTCAAGAGAAGTGTGCGCCTGGAGATCCATCTCCAGATCTTGATCTAGTCTCAGTCAGGACTACCTTATCATAACTTATTGTACCTTATTATATTATATTGTAGCTGGAAGATTCTACCTATGGTGCATATTTTAGACTTAGACTTAGATGGACTTTGTTGATCCACAAGGGAAATTACTTGGACACAGTAGCTCATACATCACAATATATTACAATAACAAAGAGTAAAAAATATAAAAATGGTAATAAAACTCCTAAATAAGTAGCAATAAAAAACAGCAAGAGACTGGTGTCAAATAAGAAATAATTATATAAAAGTGTGTACAAGTAAATAAAAAACAAATATAGTAATATAAATGCAGTGTATGACAGTTATATACAAGAGGTCGTAAAGAAAACAGTGCAAAGATGATATGATGATTGACAGAAACATAGACTTATCTGTTACATAAAGGTGAGTTGTTGTTTTAAATTACGTTAAAGTTTCATATATTTTATTATGTTTGTAAAATAATGGAAAATAATACAAATAGACACAAATAAAGAATAAATAAATGATGGATGTCTATGTGCCTAATGTTTGTATCTTGTGTCTCCAGTACACGTCAGGATGATTTCTTTATTCTACATGAGGCTCAGTACGACAGCCTCCTTGAATCCAACTTTAAAACTGAGTTCTTGAGCCTTTTGTCCAAACGATATGAAGAAGTGACGAAGAGGAAGCTGACCATCTCCTTCGCTGACAGGTACAGTGTCAGACTACAAACAACACCTGCAGAGGGGAAAAACACGAAGAATGTGGACTCAAGTAAAAGTACAGTTATATGGTTAATAGTACTGTACTTTGTTACAGGTACAAGTAGTGCCAAATTTGGACATAGACTTAGACAAACTTTATTGATCCACAAGGGACATTATTTGGACACATATGGCAAGCTGTAGCTGGATAATTATTGTAGATATCTTTAACTCAGATTTGCCTGTTCAAAAAGAAGATTTTGGATATCTGCAATGACATTCTTCCCAGGGCAAATGACGTCCCCTTTGCCATTAATTTGTATGGGTTTCCTTATTACAGATATCCACAATGTAAGATAAAGATAACTGCAGCTGAATTATAGATATCTGTAACTCTGGTTTGAGATATCTACAATTTGATTCTGACAAGTCAAGTCCAAAATATTTTTAATTCACCTCAATTGAAAATATCTACATTCTCCTTTTCAGATTTTTGTTAAATTTTTGATTAGGTGAAATGACGTTGGAATTACTAGTCAAAATTATGTTGTAGATATCGCACATTGGAATTTGGGATAGTCATAATTTGTTGTAGGAAATTTTTGATATCTTGTAATGAATTTTGATTACAGATATCTGAAATTGGAGATATCCGTAAATTTCATTGTGACTAGTCAAAGTATAATGACAGATATCTTGAATTGGAGTTTTGACGAGTCGCAATGATGTTGCAGATATCTGTATCATGATCTGTATGCAAATGATCCCACTTCAGATGGGAATGGAGTGTTTCCACATGGCGCCTGTAGCTGTTAATGGAAAGTTAATTTATCAGTAAGATGCCAGAATGCATCTTAGGGTCTTTTTGTTAATGCACTCTAGTGAAACGTTCATTGAAAATTATATTAATAACAACAAAAAATTTTTAACACTGATAGTTGTTTAACTTTAGGGACGAATGGCTTTTTGGACAGACTGGTGCACTGCGAGTAGCTAGAGACAACGTGGTGCTTTCTGTGTCATGATGTTATAATGACGTTTGAGATTTCTTTAACTTTCAATGTGCCTGGTCAAAACTGAGTAACAGATATATGCAATTGTCATTTATGATATGGCGAGTTGAATGTTGTTTTCATTGATGTAATTCCAGATATCTGTCATTCTGTTTTGCCTAGTCAAAACTGAAGTGCAGATATCTCGAACTGTCCTATTATCTAGTCAAAATGACATTACAGATATCTCAAATGACAATTCCCACTTTCCAAAATGAAATGATGCCTAGTTGAAATTATACTGTCAATGTTGTTGATATCTACAACATTAATTCCCGGATAGTTATACTTAATGTTTAAATGTTAAAATAGCAAGAGACTGGTGTCAAATAAGTCATAATTATATAATGTGCATTAGACAGGTTTTCATGTTTTGCTATTATTTCTTGGTTTGAAGTAAAAGTATAATAGTTTAGTAGTATAGTTTGTGGTAAATATCCATCATAGCACTTGAACATGACGATGCATTTAAGGTCAGTCTGTGAAACGTAAAGGTGCATTGTGTAACTTTTCTGGTGGAAGGTCTGTCAAATACTTTGCTCTATGGAGATGCTCAAACCAGACCAGGTTACAGGTCAGATCTGTGGAGAGGTGATGCAGCTCACAGCCAGAATGCCTGTTTTTCTAGGTATTTTAGAGCTATAAAACCACCTGTGATTTAATAAATGTGAAGTTAAGCAGTTTAATGTCATACTGTGGAACATTCCAGGCAGAGCAATGACATATCCAAAGAAACAAACAGGTGATGGACCAAACCAACCAAGTCCAAGTCCTGTGTTTTCTATGTTATTTTTCAGCCTGGTTAGACCTCTCTGTGTTGTGCACCTGTATCAATTTGCACAGAGACACAAACAAGCTGCTGCCGTGGTAACGCTTAAAGCCAATCTTAAAGCAACACTGCAAAACCTCCCAGGAGATCCCAGTTTGTAGTACATTGTGACTGTGTGTGGGAGCGACATAACAAAGGATTCTCAAGTAAACTATTTATGCAGCTCAAACACACAGAGCTTCAGTTTCCTCTTAAAGATAATAGCAAGTCTTCAAGTTCTGTCATTAAAAGAGAAACTGTGATTTAGGCAGCTGAAGAAAAAGATCAAAAATACATAACTTTTTTGTGATTAGTAATTTATTATTTAAATTTTCAAGCATTTAGTATGTTAGAATGGGAATTTACTTTTAATCCATCTCCAGATCTTGAGCAAGTTTTGGACAGGGCTACTTTCGCTTGAGGATTTTGGTTATTGAGCATGCTCTGGGTTAACTTACATGGTTTAGTTGTTCTTGCATTGTTCATATTTTTGAACAGTTGTAAAGAGATAATGCAAAGCTCTAGTTGAATTTTGTCTGACATGTTTATAAAAAAGGAGGGAAACAATTATCCGTCTGACTCTTCCTGATCCCGTCACTTAAGTACATGTTGTTGTTTTTTTTAAAACTTTTATCTAAACCTCTTTGCTCACATTTTGGTGTGTGCTCACAGACTGGAGTTCCGGGTGAAGAAGGAGGGGTGGGGTGGAGGAGGCAGCAGAGTCGTGATTTTCCAGAGAGGCTCCGGGGACCTGTCCCAAATCAAACCTGGAGGAAAAACTCTCACCATCACTATTGGCGACGGCCTGCCCAAGTCCTCCAGTGAGTAACATGGATATAAGCATGTGTGGGATGTTAAGGGAGCTGGATATATGCTGCACATTTACAGTTTTAAAAAGTAACTACACTTACAACTGAACCTGGGTTGCCAGTGTCTTAATCTGCAGATAGAGGACACTTAAAAGTTCTTAAGAGTTAATTTCACTCAACAAGTAAAAATATCTGCCAATAGAACAAGACTTTATGTACTTAAATATGAAAATACATCCTGGTACACTTAAGATAAGAAAAACAACAACTTTTTGCACTTAAAATAAGAAACAAAACTGAATGTTGCTTGAATTAAGAAAAAAACACTTATTCCATTGGTCCATATTTTTACTTGTCAAGTTGAATCTACTCAAATAAATTAAAATGTTTATTATATTTAATTTAAGTAATTTTAACTTAGATATTAACCTAGATATTGATTTTTGCATTGTATTATGAGTATATAGACTGATTCATGACTGACTATAGGTGCTGGAGTTTAGGTAGTGACCATTCAGATCAGAGAGACATTTTAGGTTTAAACCAACTGGATTTCAGCTTGAAACTGGCACCAGAAATGAGAGAATCATGTGAAGCTCATTCTGCTCTCTGACTGAAACCTTGAGAATAAAAACAACAACTCATCATGTCCAATGTTTTTGTAACTAATAATAATTATATGTATGTTCATGAAGTTTGACTAACAGTGTACATTTATTAATCAGAGCCCACAAGAAAGAGCGCCCAGAGTTATGGTGGAGGAAGGAACCACATAACGAACAGAGGTAAGATCACCTTTTCCTAAGAGATACTGGTGACTGATTAGGTTTATCATCACTAAAATGTAATAAATGTAAAAATGCATAGTTTTCCCAAGTGTGACTATTTGTTTACAAGTTTTTATTTCTACTTAGCAGATGGACATGTGCAGCAGAAGTAACTTAGAAAGAGACAGTTATCTTTTCTAGAAACCAAAGGCCATTTTTTCCATAATGTACATGAATAAAAATATAGATATACTTTGTTTAATGTTTAAACTGGCAGAAAAAACATACTTCTTGTTTTTAATGTCCAAAATTGTATATGTTTTAATACTTTAAGGAAAATGCCAGAAAGGTGCAGTGGGCGCAATATTTTTCTGTTGTACTAGGCCTTCTCTAATAACTGATCTGGTTTACATAAATGAGCTAATATAAACATAAAAATGGATATTATTCATTGTTTTATATGCATTTCTTCTTCTTTCTTTCCAGGTTACCAGAACGGAGCCGCTAAGTTCTCCCGTGCTCCTCAAGCGCCTCGCACAGAAAGCATCACTTACTCCTCCCCCCACAAACAGTCCCAGCCCCCCAGCACTGTCCTCCCCAGACTGGGCACCCAAAGGACCCAAAGAGCACCCACCCAGAGCCAGCATCACCAGAGCAACATGGACTTCCTCAACGTACCCGACCAGGGCATGTCAGGGTGAGAGAGATTAACCGTTTAAAACAAAATATTATGAATGTAGTAAGTTTGAATATGAGAACTTCACAAAAGCAACCTTAGCTTATGAAAGGGAATCTGGAATGTTTCATAGTATGGTATTCAACCATTCTATCGTCATGGAGACCAAACCAGACTAAGTTACAGGTCAGATCTGTGGAGAGGTGACCCCGCTCACGGTCAGAATCCTTGTTTTTTGAGGTATTTCTGAGCTTTAAAACCACCTGTAATTGAATAAATGTAAGGTAGAGCTGTTTAATGTCATAATGTGGAACATTCCAGGGAGAACGATGACATATCCATAGAAACAAGCAGGTGATGGACCCCCAGCCAAAAGGTTACATAGTGCACCTTTAACATTTGAGAGAAGACTGAATTTTTTAAAGTAAACTAAACACTAAACAAATACCAAAACCCCAAGAATTTCTCAACATGTTTGTAGAGCACTCAACTGCAGAATTATCAGGGATTTTTTAAAAAAAAATTGTAAAAAGGACTTGAATAATTGTATTTTTGAGATTTGCCAATTGTGACTATTCACATTGCAACATTATTCCAAAACACAATGTCATGGTTTTTGTTCCATCTTAAACACATTCAACAATTGCAATTGTTTTAATATTTTGGATGGAAAAAAGTGTTGTATATTTATAATGTGAAGCTGAAACCTGTAATTAAAGGGCATTAGTCACAAAAACAGCAGTAAAGTAAGGAGAGTTTCTGTTGGGACATGTCAGAAAAAAAACGCCCACTGACTTATAATATGTAGATGGACCAGTTCACTGTCTGAGACTCACAATAACATAATGGATTAGCTGTGGAAGCAGGTTTTTAGACAGTTATTTGGTTTAAATGGGCTGTGCAGAGGTGGGCCATTCTTTGTTTTGTCATCTGAAATAATCCTACTGTAAGATTAATATATGTAATATAAGCTGTGCCTGAGCACACATGCATGTGAATCCTAGTGATGTTCCATAGGGTTTGAGAAGGACAGGGGGCCTGATCTTTCCCCCAATCTTAGCACTAGAGCAAGTGTGGGGCATGGAGCTCTCAAAAAGAGGTGTGCTGTGTCTGAATATGGGGTGGAGTAGAGCAGACGGAGGGCGTGGTGTGACGCGTTCAGTGGCTTGCCAGAATCGTAAAAATAAATATCAGAAGAGTCCACTGAAAAACAACATGTTACATGCTCAATGCTTCTTTTATTAGGAAATATATGAACATGACAAATGCTTTCCATTCATAACATGTTCGTATGCTGTGCGGGAGCCGTCCGGATGCCCTCCCGCAGCAGAGCACAGCCCCTCGTCCGCTCACTGTGTCAGCTCAGCTCTGCTCTATAGTTTGGTTTGATCTGGATCTGTACAAAAGCTGCTCATTCACATGAGGCGTTCACAGTGATGTCCTTAAGTGTGTTTTCTTACCCTGTCTGCAGTCCTAATGCTGCAATTTCGGATTTCCTCACTTCCTGATGACAGGATATGTCCTTTCTGTCATCAGCTCCATTTCATTTCGTGACCAGATTATTCCCATTGTGCCTCTTTGGTTAGTTTGTAAACTTAGCCGCCAGTAGGTAGACCACCATCAGAACCATAGAAAACTGCACAGAGCCATGGAGTGGTTGGACTAGTGGGCATCAGCACATGCATTCTTTGACAGCTCAGGGCTGTGACAGTGGAGCAGACACATGCAGTTTTTGTGTTTCCCTAAATGAACCAAACAGCCATGAGTTCCAAATTATGAAATACCAATGTAATTATATGACATGATTTTGTATTTTTTGTTGTAGGAAGCAGAGGAAGAGGAGCATCAGCCAGCGTCCCCCTCCGGCCCCTAAACCTCAGCCCCCCTCTCTGGCCCCTCGCTGCAGAGCTCTGTATCAGTATGTGGGACAGGACACAGACGAGATCAGCTTTGAGGTCAATGATGTCTTCGAACTCATCAAAGAAGGTGGGTGTAAAGCAGTGAGAGCCCGTCACACCAGACCAGGGCATTCTGATTTAACACAACACTCACACAAATTTTAGATTATAATAATGTGAATGTAGTAAAGAGTACAGTATCATATTTAACAGAAACATGTGTATGAGCATTTGTTAAACCAACAGTGGTGGAAGGTAACAACGCACAAAAGTAAAAATACATATATTTTATGTATCTGCATTTTACTTAAATCTATTTTACTGTGGATACTTTTTTTTACTTCACTAGATTTGAGAGCAGGTATCTGTACTTCCTATTTCCTAATCGTTCTTTACTGTGTAAGACCTGCTGAGGTTCCGTCCCAACACAATAAACTAAAGCAGCTAGAAAAAATAAGAAATCAATAGAATCACTTAAAATCTGTCCAATTCTTTTTCAAAATCATTACATTTCATCCTTTAATTGTTCTAAAAATCTCTGCAAAATACTTTTACTTTTTACATTTTCAGACAGGTATTTTAATACTTGATTTTTTCATGTGGTACTTTTACTTTTCTTGAGTAACTTTACTTAAGTAACAAAATTGAGTACTTCATCAACCACTGTAAACCAATAATAGATAGCATGCATTTTTGGAATTCAAACTGCCCATGTTAGGCTGATAGGACATCGAGAGCTTTCACGAAGGTTGGATTTAGTAGGGATTCTTTTCTATATTCACAACATAAACTTTTTAAAATGTTTAAATACTCAAAGTGCTTAAAAGCTTTGTAAGACTTAGCCTAGCCCCGCTCTGCACCAATGAGCATAGACGCCATCTTGGGTTCAAATTCTACATTTTATTATGGCTCTATCATGTAGTGACTAACATCATTAAAACATTGAAATAACTGACATTTACAGACAGGGAACAGGCTTTTCACATTTCCAAGTGACACATTTCAGTTTGTAGAGCATTACACAACTTGGAGCTGTGTGTTATGCAAGTTTATCACACTGCGCCTCATTGTTTAATGCTTACTTATGTTACACCAGGTATTGCTGGGTTTCAGATGACATCACAACCTTCTATAGATCAGTGTTATTTAATAGTGACAGGGGGCAGCTATAATTACCCCCATCATCACAAATCTGGAAACTACTGATTCTAAAACAGTGTGTCATAATATCACATATGAAAATACAACATGACCAGTTTAACCTGTATATAACTGTTGTGTTGAAAGACGTTGTACCAGATTTTTGATGTTATAAAAACGCATAAAACAGGCTTAGCTCGTTTTAAACAAATTGCCGTGGACCAATGTTATTCCTCACTTACCTTATGCTCTCCAGGCATCCAAGCAAGGCAAGTTTATTTGAATAGCAAAAAATCGTACACAAAGTCATTCAAAGTGCTTTACAGAACAAGAAATCCATTAAAATCTCAATACAAACAAATCAAAACATAAATAATCATCATAAAATTAATTATCTTATATGAGAGAGAAGAGTGTGGAATGAAAACCTTTCCTAATCCTAATTATTCATCATGATTAGTTTACAAGTGTATTTCATAGTTCTTAGAGACCAGTGGATTTTTGCTGTGACAGTAAAGCTAACAACAGCTAGTGTGTTAACTAGGGCTGGACGTCATTAAGAAGTTGCCGATATGATATTTATCTCGATAGTGAACTTTTGATTCAGTATGATTTGATATAATATATTTCAAATCGATTTTATACAGTTAAAAAAAAGACAAAATGATGGCTGTGACACTAAAAGTCTTTGTTAAACCAGTTCTTGTACAAAGTTCATATGAAGCACAAAATTTTAATCCTCAAAACAGTGAAAATGTCAAATGTGTCGCATAAACAAGTTTCCTTCCTCTAAACAAGCAACAAAACTGTAGCACTGTAACAAAATAATTTATTAAAATATACCAAAAAAAAATACTCTTGGCGATACAGAAGCCCACGATATCGATACTGTATCATCACATTATATGCATATTCCAATATTTTTGCATACCCCTAGTGTTAATATGCACTTCCTGATAATGAGACAATAAAATCACAGCATTCTATAGGCCAATATTAATTCAAACAGATGGAGGCTGCTAAAATTAAAATAGTAAAAAATGCAAAATGATGTTGTAATACAGTGAGTTCTAGGGTTTAGTCACTAATTGATAATACCAGATTCAGTATTTGTGAGTTTACTTGTCGGATCTTTCATGACAAAGTACCAACAGTATCAGCCCTATTGAATATGTACTTACATACTTTGCCATGAAATACCTAAACAGTAAATTCCCAAATATGAAACCTAATAATTTTCATTACTGACTGAACAATATGAATTTTAGCTGTCCCCGATGATAAATGATATTGGCCTATAGAGCGGTGATGTCTTCTGAAACGCAGCAATACAATATATCTGTTCTGGGGCAAGTCAAAATTAGCTCATATACATGGAAAAAAATCAGTACAGCCAACTTTAAGAACTACCATATACAATTCAGTCACATTCGCCTGTTTCTTATTATTATCTTATCTGTTTCTTTTCCTTCGTATCATTTCTATATTTTTCATAATGTGTTTTCCTTGTAGACCCATCTGGCTGGTGGACGGGCCGTATACGAGGAAGAGAGGGCCTGTTCCCTGGTAACTACGTGGAAAAGATTTGATCAAGGCCACAGTGTCTTGTCAATTTTTTGAGACATTTTTGGAAACTAAGTAAAAATCTGTTGGAAAACTGGTTACATATGAAAAGAGTGGGACTAGCAATGTTCAAGTTACTGTATGAAATATAAAATGGCTGTAATGTTTCAAGTGCATATGACAGGTTTGCATGTGTTTTAAATTAGTATTACTTGAATTGGTGAGATAGAACCAGTGGTAAATTATGTATCATAGTTTTACATCAGTTAAGTGGCAGTTTGTGAGGAAGAAGTTCAGAAAAAAAGTAGAAAAAAATACAGGAAGCAGTTTTAAAACAGAATACCTCTACCTATGTTATCAATACCAAAAAAATGTCTAAATCTAAAATTCAGGGACAATTTACTTACAAGGAAGGCACTTTTCTGGCAGTTTAAACATTGATTTAAAGGTACATTGTGTAACTTTTGTCTGGAATGTTTCACAGTATGGGAATAAACTTTTTTTTATCTTCATGTAGACCAAACCAGGTTATAGGTCAGATCTGCGGAGAGGTGACCCCGCTTACAGTCAGAATATTTGTTTTTCTAGGTATTTTTGAGCTATAAAACCACCTGGAACTGAATAAATGTAAAGTAGAGCTGTTTAATGTCACACTATGGAACATTCCAGTGCAATGACATATCCATAGAAACAAGCATTTGACGAACCCCGAACTAAAAAGTTACACAATGTACCTTTAACAAAACAAAGATGCTTTTATTAGTCAAATCATAACTATTATATAATTTAGACAAGTTTTGGCCATGGTTAACATTATGGTTGCTAGGTAACAGTTAAGGAATTAGGAAGTAAAAGGATAAAATTCACCAAAATGAGGCTCCATGTTCAGTAAAATCTTAAAGGTGCACTGTGTAACTTTTCTGGTGGAAGGTCCGTTACATCGTTGTCTCTATGGTGATGTGGTTTAGTCCACAGTATTGCATTGGACATATGTAACTCCATGTGACGCCATCAAGCCAAGTTATGCATCAGATCTGTGACGAGTCGACCCCTGCTCATGTTTTTTAAAGCATTAATAAAACACATGCAACCGAATGAATGCGAGATAGATACGTTTAATGCTACTGTGGAACATCTCGGGCAAAGTAATAACACCTCCACCCGAAAAGTTACACACAATAGACCTTTAAACATAATGGTTTTAACTATGTTTCAGTCTAACCTGTCTTATGCACTTTAACACCAGCTCTCAGGTTTCATCTGCACAAAGTCCTTTTTAAGAAGTGACCTGGCAACTGGATCTTTGACTCCCACAACACCTTTTCAGGGCTCCCATTGGCTCAGAGATTAGGTTACAGCTCGGACAATGGCGTATGGCTGTAATAGTATGGGCTTGCTTCTTGTGTTTACATTTGGCAGGTCTCTAAAGCAACAACTGGTTTTGTAGGTATTTTGATAACAACTCAGTAAGAAATGTCTATGTGCTACTGTCAAAGGCCCTGTATTATGCATTACGATTTCTGTGTGATTTTAGCCATGTTATAATAATAATGTTGTTACCTCATCAAAAACAGACCTGGAGTTGTGTTTTGTTTCATTCACACATGTTTGAGTAACTCTGTATTGTTACTCTGTCTACATTTCCAAAGCTTAAAATGCTTTGATCTACTTTGTGATGTCATGAGGAAGTAGTTTTCAAGTTGTGTGAATGAAACAAAACACAACTCCATGTATGTTTTTGATGAAAATAGCATAATATGGGTCCTTTAAATTGCACAATGTAACTTTTTTGGTGGAGGATCTGCTACATCCTTATATCTATTGAGTTAATAGTCCAATGATTAATTTGGTCTTCTGATAATTTGTTATTAGGTTCTTTTTTCAGACCAAGAGTTTTTTGTTGTTTTTTTCATACGTGACAGTTTTGACTGCTCACTAGCGCTCTTCCTCAGAGTGGGCGTGTCCGGAAACGTGCCCATGGGACTATAAACCGGGACGAGGGGGCTTTTTTACTCTCACACACCTGGGATACTGTCTTGAAGAAGTCGGACTGTGGATGGCACTATAGTCCTGCCTCCACCGGTAGGAAGACAGTGCCAAAACCTGTACAAATCAGATGATCGGACACGTCACAGCAACATCACGTGACCACTCTGAGGAAGACCCTGAGTGAGCAGTCCAAACTGTTAGGTATGAAAACAAACTCTTGGACTGAAAAAAGAAAAAAAGAACCTAGTAACATATATCCATTGAGTTGTTTCGCCTGGAATGTTCCGTAATAACTTATGTATCTCCATGAGTAGATGATGCCACCAGGGCAAGTTTTAGGTCAGATCTGTGGAATGGTAACCTTGTTCAACATAAGAATGCATGTTTTATTTAATTATTACAATGCATTTTCAAGCAATGTAAACTATAGTAATTTAATATTTGCAAGATATACTTTTAATGTCATACTGTGGAACCAGTGACATCTCCATGGAGAAAAGCAGGTGACGCCACTAGGCCAAGTTACAGGTCAGATCTGTGTTGTGTGTGCTGTGTGTGTGTGTAAAAATGCTTGTTTTTTAATTAATTGAATATAAACCAGTTAGATGAGTGTTATGTCATACTGTGGGACATTCCAGGTAAATTAATACTGTGAAATATTCAAGACAAAGGAACTACATCGCTGTGGAGACAAGCAGATGACAGAACCCCACCAGAAAAGTTACATAGTGCATCTTTAAAGTATCAAAACTGTTCTCAAAAGATGTCACTCACTGTATTGCACTGTATTACAACTGAAATACTTGCTACTATTGTTGTAATGTTATCTGCACATTTACCTGGTATACAACTGTAATGACTGAATATTTTGTGCTCAATTTTGTAGATAAAGTGATTTCCTCGTCTTGTATTTCTTTCGTAAAAGTTGATTTTCCTGTTACTTTCTTTGGTATATTGTTTTGTAATATTGAATAGCTATTATGTGACACTAGTGGTTTTGGTTGGAGCAGATAGACCGGTTTCAATCTCCCTGAACACAACAGTTATAACGCACAGGACACAGTACAATTACTCACTGTGGTCCTGAGACACGCCTTTCAGGACTCAAACGGAGCAGTGACTTATACATTTTATAGATTAGTAGTTGTGGGTGAAGTAGTTTAAAGGGCTCATATTAGATTATTCTCTGATCCGTGTTATAATGTAGTTTCCTCATCACAAACAGACCTGGACTTGTGTTTTGTTTCATTCACACATGTTTAACACACAAACTTGCATATTTAGGCTGAGTTCTTCTCTGAAATGAGAAACACTGTGTTGTTGTGGTGTTAACTTGAAAATGACCACTACACAACATCACAATGTGGAACAGAGATGGAAATGTAGACAAACTAATAAAGGGTTATTCAAACATGAATGAAACAAAACATGTTATGTTCTTGAGGAGGTAATAACATTCTAACATGATGAAAAGCTCATTAGTGTCATTTTTGTGTAATATAGAACCTTTAAGTAAAAGTACACATACATTTGGGCATGTTGGGCATGCAAGTACTTGAATGGGAGACCACTGGGAACACCAGGTGCATTAGTAGCAAAAACTGTTGTTGTGTCCTTGGGCAAGGCAATTTACCAACAGTACCTAGTATAGATGGTGGTCGGAGGGGCCGATGGTGTGGATTGGCAGCCTTAGTTCTGTCAGTCCGCCTCAGGCAGCTGTCGCAGCAATAGTGGAGTGAAAACACTCAGAATATTAAAGCGTAACCAGAGTGTGTCACCAGATGATTTGCAGCTGCAAAACCACAACCAGATCATTTGAGTAATAATAAACCACTGGTGTCAGGTTTGAATGACAAGGTGAACTGGGACTGGACCATGTTAAATGTTATCAAAACAAGAATATAGATAGGCCTATATAGGCCAACAGAAATAAAATAGAAATCAGCTGACATATTCTCATCCCAAATGAAATACATGTGCACATATTCGCTGATTATCTTTAACAGTAAAAATATCATATATTCATATTTTGGTAAATGGTCACATTTTTATACAGCACTTTTCATCCTTCAAGACACTCAAAGCACTTTACAACAAAGAACCACTTACCCATCCACACACACACACTCATACACCAGTGTACACAGACAGTGAGGGCAAAGTGAGCTAAGTGTCTTGCCCAAGGACACAACAACAGCATTCATCTGTGGCAGCTGGAATCGCACCACCAACCTGTGGATATGTCCGCCATGAAGTTTATGTCGAGAGTAGGATTTGAACTGCCAACCTGCAGATCAGACAAACCAACTTATTAAAGCCATTCTGAAAATAGCCTGGATTTCCCCTTGGGGATCAATAAAGTGCCATCTATCTATCTATCTATCTATCTATCTATCTATCTATCTATCTATCTATCTATCTATCTATCTATCTGTCTATCTGTCTGTCTGTCTGTCTGTGTCTATCTGTCTATCGACCAAGATGCTATTTTCTTTTTTAATTCTTCCTTTTCTCATTAAGACAGTGTTCTGTAAATAAATACTTGGCTACTACGTTTAATTTGAATTCTTTATATTTAATTCAAACAAACTTGAATATGTCCCTTAAACCTGCCTCTTCTCCGAAAAGAGCATCATTGTTTCTCTCCCAGGGAAAAAAAAAAAAAAAACCGTGACTTCCAGATAGAGAGAGAACGCGCGCTCTGTTGGAGATGACGCTTTGTGTGAAAACGTAAAACCATTCATCATCATTCATGTCATGTGTTTGTGACACCTGAATGACACTGTTTGTTGTTGTTGTTGTTGTTTTTGTACGTGCCTCCTCGTGCTCCAGCGTGCTCTGACCCCGCCCCTCTTTAAATGCGCTGCACCTGTCGCGTTCCACCTGTCATTCGGACCGGAGGAGCGGCAGGAGCGGCTGAAGGAGCGCTCATGGGAGGTAAGCACCGGATCATTACTCACACAAACTTTTATTACACTTTTTAACTGTCAGACATTTTAAGATTTCAAAGTAGAACCTGGATTACAAGTATTTATTCTGTGAAAGAGTAGCACGTAACGTAAACGTAACCAATGAACGTAGCATAGCCTAATATTGTTACTATGTTATTACTTTTTTAGTAGCGTCTTAGCATATTTAGAATCTTAAATTGTGTGACAAGATGTCACTATTTACTCGGGGCAGTCCCAGTTTTGAGTCCTATGTCTCCTGTCCCAGCAGATTTATCCCAAACCACTGATTTGTCCCAGTTTTATAGAAAAAAAAAAGTCCCTGCCCTGGTGTCACTATTTTTGACCAAAAGCTAACATCTGAATCTTGAATTAAGAGTGTTTTATGGTGTTTTATGGTTTGAGGAAATTTCTCTTGACAAGTAAAATTATCTACCAATATAACAAGACTTTTAGTACTTAAAATATGAAAATACATCTTGCTACAGTTAAAATCAGAAAAACAGCAACTCTTCACACTTAAAATAAGAAATTACAAGTAAAATGCTCTTAATTGAAGTAATTTTAACTTACACAGGTATTGCATTTTGAAGTATTGATCTAAACCAGGACTAAACTAAGATTAAATCAGGACTGCATCAGGTCTAAACCAGGACTAAAACAGGACTGTCACAATTTTTGACTGAGCTGATCCCTGCCAACACTAAGGAGGAGCATAAACTATCATTTGTTTAGCCAAAATACAGAAATCCATGTTTGCAAATGACCATGAAGCAAAAAAGTGCAGCAACAGAAGTCTTATGGCTGATACGACAATGCACAATCTTACACAGTCTGATACAACAATGCTCTTTTCACAATTTTATTTATACCAAGCGTCCCAACCGGGTGTGAATTTTGAAAATCTGGTCACCCTAATCTTTAACACACAACGTAAAGGAATATAAATGATTGAATAGCTTTTTTTCCTCAATAGATTGCATGACCACAAAGCCAAAACTGTGAGCTCTTCATTCATTCATTCATAATTTCAATGCATATGATGATCATTTTTAAAAAGATACTGATACTGAAAATAAAATCACACAAAGAGGAACGAACTGAACTTTCCAGAGAAGTTTTTGAATCGTTTTGATCCATATCAGATTGAGTGTAAGGCCACATAGTAACCCTGAAGAAACTACTATTATTCTAAGTTGAAAATGACATTCTGTATTTGTATTTGGTCTGAAAAATCTTTTAAACTGATAATTGTAGTATAAAAGTGTCAAGTATCAAGCCTTTTCCTTAGTATCAAGCTTGAAGTTTTTATCTTGCCAGTAGCAGTGGTAATAATAATGTGGCTATTATAATGTAGTTGACCAGAGGCTATATATTTGCTATTCATTTCCATCATGTGATTTAAGGTGTGGTTCATATTTGTGGTTTGGTCATGTTCTAGACCTGGTTTATTCCTGGTCTACACTTGGTTCAGTTCCTGGTTTAGGTAATGTTTAGCCCCAAATTTGATGTAGTGATTGTAGAAGAGAAAGGTAAGACGACATGGGGATATTAAAGAAACTGCTGCTATTTTCAGTAAAAAAAAAATTACATTATATCATCTTAAAAAATTGTTTTATTTTCAAAGTCAGTGATTAGCAACTCTACTGTCTCTACTCTACTGTTGGCTACTTATTTATTGTTTATTTATTATCATTTGATTCAGGGTGCTTTTACACTTGCCTGGTTCTAGTGAAGATTTCGATCAGGTCCTGTTCTGGTCCTGGTTTAGTTCCAGTTTAGTCTCAGTTTTGTTTTGTACCTTAAATCTATCATCAAATCGGAAGAACTAGAGTTAAGACCATGTGATAATAAAAAAAAAAACGTTATTACATTATTTGTTATTGGGCCCTGTTTGAGTCCTAGTGAAGATCTGATTTGGTCCAGTTTTAGTCCTGGTTTAGTTCCTGGTTTAGTTCCAGTTTAGTCTCGCACCTTGAATCTATATCTGAAGAACTAGAGTTAAGACCATGTGATAATATTAAAAAAAAAACATTATTACATTATTTATTATTAGACCCTGACGATTTGGTTTGGTCCAGTTCTAGTTCCAGTTCTAGAGACATCAGGACTAGGCCTAGTGCCTCCACTCAGTTTAATTTCTCTCCAGCGACTAGGTCAGGAATCGGAATACACTAGATGGTTTGCAAGAACTCTCGTTGTAGACTGCGCACCGGCCAATCAGTGAAGAGCTGTGAAGCCATGATGTCAAACTCAAGCTCCTGTCTGGGTCCCTTTTGTGGTACAGCACAACAGTAAACAAAACAATCGAGATGTATGTAGACGAAGACAAACATTCTGTGTTGGCAACGATTCCCGAGATCGAGGATTTAAAGCTGGAACAAAGAGAATGTTTGGTGAATTTTATCAAGGGGAAAGAGGTTATTGCCCTTCTTCCTACAGGATTTGGCACATTACATACGTCACAACCAAATAGCAGTGATTGGTTAAATAAAAAAAAGTACCCGCATACCGTGGAGCGAACGAATCCTAATGCTGCGAGGTCAGACGGTTTCCACAAAATGAAACCGGCTGATGAATCAGGCTAGATCTAATCCTGGCTTAGTTCCTGATTTACTGTTGATTGATTGAATGTCAACACTTTAAAGTTATATCAGTATTAATGTAAGGCACATGGGGATATTAAAGAAACTTGAGTTGTTGATAATTATATTCTATTGACTCTTTAATTGTCAGTATTTTCCTGTATTACATCAGTATTTTCTCGTAGTATATCCTTTTGTTATCAAGATAAAGTTTGTTTATCATGCAACCCTTTTTTTATTAAAGACAATAGAATATAAATAAAACTAAATACAAAAATGAACATGAAAACAAGACTCAAAAACATAAAATAAAACCTAAAACAAACTCTAACTCACCCCTTAACCCAAACACACACACAAATTTATAAGTAAATAAAAATAAAAGTGATGTAGTAGTCCAGCGTAACCATACTGCTCAGCTTTCACCATCATCTTTACATCATCATCGTTTACTATTTACTACAGTCTTAAAGCATAATTAAAAGTTTTTTTCTAGATAACTATAAGCTACTTATTGACAGTGCAACCTGTGTTATAAACTAATAGTAATGTATGGAAGTTATTTATTAAACTGCAATGACATATCAAACAATTAAAAATAAAGAATATCAGAGTTTAACCAAATGTCCTCTCTGAAGCGTACATCTCTATCAGCTAAAACACCAGTGTAAGATAAGGTGTTCAGTTGGGCTTTTGCGTGTCGTTAGACCACAGATCAGTGAGCGAAGTGTCCCTCTCATGGGCTCCAGGTGCATTACAAAGATAAGCTCCATTTGAATAAACTTTCACAACATACAACAGACATCCAGCAGAGGGAGTGGGTTCTGATTTTCATAAGAGGTTTGCATGATTCTGCTCTTCCCTTGTATAATAATGAAGCACCTGTTATAAAAAAAGAGAGTACTGTTAAAAAATAGAGCTGCACCATATTTGGAAACGATTGCACATGTGGCTAAAAAGTTCTGCGTTGTGACTTTAATAGAATCAGAAACATGGGTAATAAAATGTACTTTGTGCTACATTTCAAATGTATGAAAAGTGCTATACAAATAAAGTTTGATTGATTGATTGATTGATTGAAAATGTGTTCTGATTCTATGGCTGTTAGAGATCCAACACGACTAGATCCAACTTTTTAGAACTTTTTAGAACTTTTTGGCTCTTTTTTTTTTTTTTTTTTACACTATTTCTTATTATGAGCGGGCTTGCATTTTCATAAACCTGCTGACTCTTACTTTGACCACAGTTTCTAGTAGAAATTGATGTTCCACTGTTTGGTAGAAACTTTATGTAGTGTTTCTTTAAATCAAGGGTCTCTAACCTTTTTCTTCCAATGAGCTACCTTTACAAAAAGAAATGAATATGACTAATTCTTATTGGTTGCAAGATCTAATTTTAGTGGGAAACAGTTAGATAATATAAACCTTTATCCATTTATTAGTGCACAAAGCGTCATCAAAATGATACATACAATAAAATGGTAGTTCATCAAATTTGAGTCATTATATGTTTGATTCAGAAATCCTTTGGCGAGCTCCGTGGAAAGGAGCGGAGGGCTACTGATAGCTCCTGGCCTATGGGTTGGAGACCCCTGCTTTAAAAAACTGCAGTAGTTTTATATGTTTTGATATAATTTCACTTCTATTGAAACTGTAATGGGGATGTCTTTATTGAGACTGTCAAAACAAAAACCTTACATTGACAAAACCAAGATTAAATCAAAGCTTTTTTTTATGATTCAGCAAGTAAATTAGTAATTATAATACACCTTTTCATTTAAAAACACAATTGAATAAATGTTCTTTTAGGTCTGAAAACCTTAGTTTTAGGGTGTTATATTTAGTTTCTTGAGATATTGATTATTGCATTACCAATATTGTATTGTACTCATTTCATAGTTAATGCTTGCTACAGATAAAGTGCAAAATATTCTGTTCAGTAACCTAATGATGCTTTCTATTCTGCTTTATGATACAAATTCCAGAAGATTAACAGAATTAAAGCATAATAAAGATAACATTTATAAATGGATAATACAAAAGCTTTGGTTAGACTCCCAGACCCTCCGACTCTCAGAAACGGTCTGCTAGACACTTGTAGACTTGTAGAGATTTTTTTTTGCGTGTGTCACTCTTGTGCTGAGAGTTCTGCTGAAACATCTTTTTTTAAATTTTTGCAATATACAAATCAAAAATCAACAATACCTTTGCAATATCTCGTGTAGCCTTAGTTTAAATCTGAGTTGTATGCCTTGATATATTGATTTAAACCTTTGTGTTTCAGGCATGTACTCAGTTGAGAAAATGGCGGGGGTCTTTTCGTACCAAAGTTCAGACATCGACTGGTGCGAAGACAACTATCAACATTCAGAGAACGTCGTAGAGTTTTTCAATACGGTGAGATTAAAGACCTAAAAGTTCACTCATTATTGAGAATTATTTTAACAGTGAGAGGTACTATGTAACTTTTCTGGTTCGAGATCCATTACCTGCTTGTTTCTATGGTGATGGTATTGGTTTGCCTAGAATGTACCACAGTATAGCATTAACTTAACGCATATTCTATTATACATAATACAATATTTTTGCAGCCTTATCATGAGGGTTGAGCGTGGCCTCTCCACAGATTTGATTTGTAACATGGTCTGGTAGAGATAGATAAGTTTAATGTTGTACTGTGGAACATTTGTGACAAAGCAATAACATCTCCATGGAGACAAATAGGATGTGTGTTTCTTTCAAAAACAGTAAACCCTCTAATGAGCACAAAGGGCGTAAAAAGCTTAAAAATGTAGAATGTTATAAAAGTGAAATGTTGCAAAAAACTGATTAGATTTTTCAGTTTGATATTTGGTTTAAAAATACAAATTTCAAAACATAGTTCGGAATAAATCTTTCTTTTGTGTTTTTACAGGTGAGCAGTTTCTTCTTCTTCATCGTATCTCCCATCATGCTCTACCTGCTGCATCCTTACGCCAAAGAGAGGAACCTCGCTGTGCACATGGTCTGGGTCATGATGATATTTGTAGGTGAGGACTTCACGTTAACTCGAAATAACAAAGAACCCATATTACTTCATTTTCTCATCTGTTATAATGCTGTTTCCTCATCACAAACATACCTGGAAATGTGTTTTGTTTCATTCACACATGTTTAACACACAAACCCTGCAGATTTATTTAAGCTGAGTTCTTCTCTAAAACTGAAATACTCTACTCCACCTTGTGCTCCAATGTGTTTTTAAACTCCATACACCTGGAATTCCAATTTCTACTGAATGAAAGGTAAAAGCTAAGAGCTATTAACTTGAAAATTACCTCTTCATAGAAAGTGAGACAAAGCCTGCACACTTACTCGCAAACTGCTTTTAATGAATGACAACGTTTCCATCAGTGGATCTTATTTGGACCAGACGAAGATCCACTGATCGAAACGTCATTCATTAAAAGCAGTTTGGGAGTAAGTGTGCAGGCTTGTCTCACTTTCTGTGTTTACTGTAGTCGCCTGGCACCAGTGATGTGCGTATACCTATACCTTTTATGAAACTACCGCTTCATAACATCACAAGGTGGAACAGAACATTTTGTCTCTTCCTGCACAGATACAGATTTACAACAAAAACAATGAATGCTCAGTGTAAAGGTGCACTAAGTAACTTTTTGTGTTTATATGGTATCTGTCTTGCTTTGTTCAATACTAAAAATGACATTGAAATCATACATTCTTACCATGAGAGGGCTTTATTAAATCACTGCTACTGTTACTTACAGTTACAAAACTATCTTTTAGCTCTTAGTCACCAATAAAAAAAAACTAAAACAAAGTAAACTAAACAGCTTTACAAAACTAAAACAGCTTTACAGCAGAAATTCAATAAAAAAACTAAAAAATGCTAAAATAGAGACTTGGTAAATACATCATTAGTTATATTATCTGTCAAAATGAAAAGAGGGATGGCCTTTGTAAATGAGGAAGGACCATTTTGAAAGAGTAAATACTGGTTTAGAAATACCTTGACCTGCACCTTTCAGACATACAGTATTTGCACAGACTGATCACATGACCAAGAGAGAAGTTTAAGAACAGAGACCAAAAGCAGCCAACGGCAAACAAAAAATCTGCTTCTGGGTTCATAATGTTCACAATTCTGGGTTCATAATGTAACCTTTTGTGGTAGAGAGTATACTATTTGCTTGTCTCCATGAAGATGCTTTACATGTGTCATTTTTTATTCAATTGTATTTGTTGAGACTACCTTGAAAACTGCATTTCTTACCACCCCTCCACAGATCTGACTCACAATGTAACACACTTGTCTCCATGGAAACCTGTCTCCATACTGTAGACCATTCTGGGCAAAGCAATAACATAGGAATAGAGACCTATTCACTTTCACGATTAATTACTACAATTTACCACCTATGACCACCTCTCCACAGATCTGACCTGTAACTTGGCTTGGTAGCGTCATCATGCTTGTTTCCATAGAGCTATACAAGTTTAATGCCATACTGTGGAACATTCTAGGCAAAGCAAAAACATCTCCTTGTTGTGTAACTTTGTAAACTTGTAAGGTGAAGAGTGCACTATTTTTGGAGATGTTATTTCTTTGCCGAGAATGTTCCACAGTAGGGCATTAAACACATCTCTCTTGTACTGGTTCAGTTACCGTACTGGTGTTTTATAGTTCAAAAATACCTAAAAAAAAACAAAAACATGAATTCTTACCATGTGCAGGCTTTCTTCTCCATAGATCTGATCATTAACCTGTCTCCTTTGTGATTACCAAGTTTATTTGCTTATACTGTGTAATAATCAAGGCAAAAATAGTATTATCTCCATAGAGACAAGCAAGTGGCCACCATAAAAATTACACAGTCACTATGATTTACTATGGCCAATTTACAGTGACTAATGACCTACTCAAATAACCTCCTGTGTAGTCAACCAACATTTTCTTAATCCACGCGTTTTGCATATTTCTGATTTATTGTGCTTTCTTCCTCTAGGCCTGTTTTCTGCATATTTCCACATGACCCTGAGTTTTGTGGGTCAAATGCTCGATGAGTTGTCCATTCTGTGGGTGATCGCCGTGGGTTACTCTCTCTGGTTTCCTCGTAAACTCTTCCCGTCATTCATAAAAGACAGGTGAGGTGACCCTGCCCAGTGTGACTCATTCAAATGTGTGTACAGTAAAGACACAGTCAGGAATAAGGTTAGATGTAGATCAAAACTAGATACTCATTTGAACAAGTCTTGATAGTAAAAATATTTCTCAAAGTGTTGGTGAGTTGTTGTTGATGTTTTTTTGTTCCTTTGTAACAGAGAAGACAGTGGGCCATTCATGAATGTTTTCTTACATAAATGTAACAACAAAAATGTATTATAAGTTCATGATCATGTTTCATATAAAAATAAGACATGTTATGTGTAAAGGTGGCCAAAATGTATCATATTTGGAACATTTGAAACCAAAATATGGATAGAGTCAGGTTTAAATGTCTCAAATATATATATGTTATATGAGATACAAAAAAACTACAGGAAAGTGGAGCAAGGTGACCAGACGTCACTATTTACCCGGAACAGTCCTAGTTTTGAGCCCTGTGTCCCCTGTCCCAGCAGATTCATCCAAAACCAGTGATTTGTCCCAGTTTTATACAAGAAATGTCCCATTTGTCCCTGTTTTTGACCAATTTAATACCTGCCAATAGTAAAGAGAGGCATAAATTATTTGTCAAGGTAAAATAAAAAAAATGTGCTTGAAAACGACCATGAAGTGAAAAAATGCAGCAACAAACATGTCTTAGATTTTATACTGACCCACAAATGAGTCAAGAACAGACAATATTACACACTCTTTTCACAATTTTATTTATACCAAACATCCTAACCTGGGTGTGTCCCAGTTTTTAATTTTGAAATCTGGTCACCCTAACTTAAATTAGGCTTTTAATCTGAGTTTTATTTTAACACAATCTGACCAGAAAGAGTTGCCTTACATTGTGACATTGTGTCATCATCGGAAGTGTTGAACATTCCACCTATAGACACACATGCAAAACACCCCCAATGTGATGTCAGGTGAACTTATCTTACAAGACAAAAAAAGCCCTTTCTAAGCCATGACAGTGTAACTTAAGCCTTGTACAACAGCAGAGCCTGTCCACCTGCTTTGCTTCACTCATTGTCCCGTAGACACAGAACGGAGCGGCTCTCATCACCTTAATGCGTGGCAAGAGATTAGCTCCCGCCACATCTCCAGGTTAATATTTAAAGAGGCGGGGGTATGATGGATGACATGAGTGTCTGAAGTCTTAAAGAACAAACAGTTTGACACACAAGTAACTGTGCAGTGCAGTATGTGCAGTATGAGTAAATACACAAAATACTTTCACATTAAAGGTAAATGAAGTATGAATGAATGCAAAAGTATATTTATTGAATGTGTTAAGACCCTGTGCCAAGGCCGCCACAAAAAGAAGGAGGCCAGAGGTTGGATTTTAAAATAAAATATATTTTTATAGTAAACCACAAACAAAACATACAGTTTCTGCCTTTGCCTTATTTTTGCTCATGATACAAAGACAGAGCACAGGAACTGACAAATAAGGGTCAAAGGTCAATTTTGTGCTCAATATTTTTCACAATATTTCTTCATATGATAAACGAGGCCTCAAATGCAAACAAAATGAACCAATTTTTGACCAAACGTTATGTTACGGTGTTCTGTCTTTGTAGGGCAGCATTGGTGTTGATACTTTGCAGTTACATCATGGTGGGGTGTTTCTACATGTATGTCTATGGCGGAATGTTCAGCACTTACCATGGTGACGCAATGCACACATTAGCAAACATGAGCCTGATAAGTTTTAAGACAACACAATTTCTGGAGCCTGTGATCAATATGACTGTTCACCTGTTTAGGTGTTTGATTTTCAACCAAGAAGGTGAGAGTGACTCAGATTGTGTTCAAACAAAGATCAGATTAAAGTCTTAAAGTCTTTAAGTTTAAAGATTAAAGTTAACTTGAGTAACAGAGCTTCAGACTGAGCCGTGCCTCTAGTTAACATAAAACCTCAAGGGAATGTTGACATCAGCTGCAAAGTGTCAGTTGAAAAAAATCTGCTTCCATCTCTATCTGGACACGTCAGAATCTATGGTGCTGTTTATCTGTCAAGTTGCAGATTTGTTGTCCGGGTTTATGGTTCATATCTCTGTAATTACTCGACCTACCCACATGAAACCAAAACTGGCACAAACTTATCATTGTTTACTAGGGATTGACTCAACAAATCTCATGGCTTAAAGTCCTTTCAATTGACAACAATCAAGTCTTTGAAGTTGAATAGTGGTTCCACCGTTTGAAGCTATTGTTAAAAAAATAATTGTACTTTTGTTTATTTTTACTGACAGAGAAGATGTTGAACTTTGTGCCAGTTTTTTTTTTTTTTTTTGATGTGGATAGGCCCAGGAATTACAGAGATATGAACCACTAATCATATTCCACCGTAGAATTCAGACCTGTCCTCCAGCTCAACTTTAAGCTATAGAGATTCGACATTGTTGTGATGTGACAATTTGCTTTCTTATCTCTCCCTGTCCTCTCCTCCTCAGGTCCACCTTCTCTAAACTGGTGCTGATCATGACAGTTATCACGTCTCTGGTGTCTTTTGTCAAACCCACGGCCAACGCTTACGCCCTCAACTGTTTCGGGCTGCACTTCCTCTACACTCTGACCATAGAGATGAGATGGTACCAGCGTTTACACTCTTATATTCATGCTTTTATTTGCAAAGTGATTATACTGATGACCGGTGATTCTCAACTTTCACTGCTTTCCTGTCATCACTTGCATTGATATGGTTTAAACATTACAACAAATAGTTTTTAATAGTTAGTTTAATACATTTTGACCTAACATTAATCTCAAATAACAACCATTTGGAGTTGCTGAACATGGTCTAGAACAGTGTTTCCCAAACTTTTAAAAGTCATAAACCTTCGTGACCCGAGTCAATAGACATTATTCGTAAATCACAAAATAAAGGTGGATTTGACCATTATTTAACATTAATGAGGATATTTTATTGTTGACTCTGATCAATTAGTATTACTCAAGTTTAAAACAATGAAAGACAGTCACTGAAGCAGCAATAAAAGGATCCATAAGTCGCCTATTTGGACATTAAAGAGCACATTTCTTTTTCTTTTCAACATTCAGTTGAACCAGCAATAATGGAACAAAATAGTCAATAAAATATTTACAAAAAGATTAGAAATTATACAAAACATGTCTTAACATTTCAACATCTGTAATGAGATAGGTGGGTCTGTCTAAGTTTTTCTAGCGTGTTCCAGTCTGGGGTGCAGGAGGAGAGCACAGCAGCATATCAGGAGCAGCATTCAGTCGGTTTCTGTGCTTTGACTTAATTTTTGTGAGCACAGAAAATCAAATGTGTCAGAAGTGTATATTGCAGATCTACATGCAGATCATGACAAGGCGACCCCAAAAAAATTGTGAGCCAGGCTTTAGGAAACAATGGTTTAAAGGCCTTGAAGGTGCAGCGTGTAGTTTCATTCTGCCTTAACTTGTGTATATTTTCTGCTTGTTATTTACATTGGGAGCACAATGAGTCAGTGATATATAACATCTGTATGTAAAATCACCTTCACATTGTACTATTCAAATTTGCCATCTGCACAGATCAAGATTGTTTTCAGTGTAATAGTCATTTAATCTGTTTATAGAACGTTTAGTGGGTTAGCTAATGTGTTGACAGTAATTTTGCTTTCAAAATATCTTAATGATTCTAGTGAAGGTGTCTGGAGTATGGAGTGGAACACACTGGAGCACTTTTTGCATTTTCACATTACATCACAAGGTGGAACAGAGAAGATCTCAGCTAAATATGGAGGATTTGTGTTTTAGATAGGGATGTAACAATAACCAAAATATCGTGTATCGTATCATCAATAATATCGTGGACCATCACAATATATTGAATTACAAAGTCTCTATGCTTAAATTAAGAGTTATAGTGCAGCAGTAGCTAAAAAAAAAAAAGTGGGAACTACATAGACCATGATCCTTTGGTCCATTTCAGTGTAGACTACGAAAAGAAATAACATTTTTAAGTCTTAAATTGAGTCTTGTCAAGGCATTTCAAGAGGAAAAAGTAGCTTATTAACAATTTTTTTAGCCACCACAAAATATTGCAATAAATATCGTACCGTGAGATGTATATCATGAAAATATCGTGCCGAGAGACTTGGATATTGTTACATCCTTAATCGTGAGCCTCCCAGCCCCCACCATATCATGAGCTTTCCCATGATATCGCAATAAATATCATACTGTGAGGTTCATACCATGACAATATCGTATCGTGAGACTTGGATATCGTTACACCCCTAGTGTTAATCCTAGTGTTACACCCCACAAGTCCAGCTATGTTTTTGATTAGAAAACAACACTATAACATAGATCAGAAAATTGCATAATATGAGCACTTTATTTGCACATTATTATGACAACCAATGTATGACAGCCAGAGTTTTATTTTCCACCAGACAGTACAGAGACTCTGCCCTTGATCTAACCCTGTGTGTGTTTCCAGCTGCACAGATCAGAGGGCCCTGCGTCTGGCCAAACTCTCTGTGGGGCTCTGGGTTTTGGCCATCTCCTGTTGGATCAGCGACAGGTTCGGCTGCAGCTTCTGGCAAAAGATGAACTTCTGTTACCTGCACAGTCTCTGGTAAAGATGCTGTATTCTGTGTAACTGATTTGAACTAACTGCTCACTACAGATAAAAACAGTATGCAAATCATTTTTTTCATTTCATATCTCATAAGTGGATATGTGCAATATAACCCATTCATCCATTTTCTTCTGCTTATCTGGGGTCAGGTAGTGGTGTAATATAACCATAAAAAGTAATTGGGAGTTGATGTCTGCAGGGTTATTATTTATATCATGATTTAGTGCGTATTTCTTTGATACAGCTCTATGCTCTAACACAGACATTTGACTCCACCCACTTCTACTCTTCAGAGCTTCTGTCCTGCTCTGAGTGAGTGACAGATGGATTTAACCAATCACAGCAAAGTCTGAGATGCCAGAATATGTAGATTTGATAATTTTAATTGTAATTCATCTGTTTTACCTGGGCTCAGACTGTACACGGTGACTATTCTCTATAATTACAAGTATGAAGAGGAACTGCAACTGCGTCGGGTGCAGTCTGAGGGCCTGTTTACACGAGAACGTTTGCGGGTAAAAATGACAAAATATTTGATCAGAAATGCCTTTCGTTTAGATGGTGATGGCGTTTTGGGGCTTAAAAACGCAAAAATCTGAAACCAGCCTCCAGAGTGGAAAAGTTGAATACGCTCCTCCTTAGCCTTTCCGTCTACACTGCCCAAGACGCAAAACTCTGGTTAGATCTACTCACGACGTGTACGCGTTACATACATCACCACCTAGTATCACCACCAAGCTGCCTGGCATGCATACCCAATCCAATTCCACACACTTTTGCGTCACCATATGCACACAGATTTCCTCCAGAAAACGCTCGTCTAAATGCGGAATAAAAAGTGAAGACGCGACGCCACTTTTGCATCTTCTGTTCAGACCGTCGTCATAGAAACGTAGCCTGAGAGAGGTGTCACTGTGTCTGTCCAGGTGCCTTTTAGCCAAGTCTCTCTCCAAAACCACATCTTATCTCAGGGGACTTCCTGGTAAAATAAAGATTGAATAAATAAAAAAGACCAGGGACAGTCAGGGCTGTGCTGTTATTTATTTATTTACTGAATTGAGAGCAGTTATTTCCAATTGTCAGTTATGAGATTTAGTCTTTTTAATCAAGAGGTCTACAGTGAATCCTTTTTGACCATATTGCCCAAGCTACATGTACATGAAGCCTGATAAAACTTAAAATCTTGGGTAACACTCGATAATAACTCCACTTTGATTATATTTCATTGTTAACTTTAATAAAGAATGATCAATGATGTAATGAACAAATAATTGATTAAGAATGATTCAGGATTTGTGTGTACTTCATTTAGTGTTGAGATTATTTTTGTTCTTACCTCTTTTTGTGTTTTCAGGCACATTTTCATCGTGATCGCAGTGGCGTACGGCAGCACTCTCATAGCCTATCTGGACGCTAACAATGAGATCCCGTATTCTCTGCCCGGGCTCCAGTATTGGCCCTGTGACCAGTGGCCCGTGGGTTTACCTCACATCGTGCTCAAAGGCACCACAAAAACACGCAAAAGATGTTAATCATGTTTAAATATGTAAATAACTTTTTCTATAATGAAAACATTTCTATAGCCATGTTTTTATCAATTGTGTTCACGTGACTTCAAAACATTGTAGAATTTTTTTAAGTTAAAATGGAGCTGGCCTGGTCAAAATTCTATGGTGGAATTTGCTGTTTAAGTGTCAGATTGCAGATTTGTTGACCTGGTTTATGGTTCATATCTCTGTAATTACTGGGCCTTTTCACATGAAACAAAAACTGTCAGTATAAATAAACAAAAGTGACATTTTTTTTCACTATACGTTGGTGGTGCTATTATTCAAGCACAAAGATGGAGTGGTGGAAGACACTATTTTGTTATATTGGAGCAAAAAGAAACCCCAAAACCTCAGGATAAAGTATCACATAAAAAAATCTACTGAAGTAAAAGTATTAAAGCACCCCTTTGAAAATGTAAAAACTAAAAATATTTCTAGAAACGTGAACACAACCTATTGGCCTTTGTTACTACAGAAAGTCCAAAAATATCAGTGTTTTTTTAAGATTTTTTAACTTTACATTTGGTCCTAATAGATTTAAAGGTGCACTATGTAACTTTTTGGTTGGGAGTCTATCACCTGCTTGGAGATGTCATTGCTTTACTTGAAATGTTTCAAAGTATGACATTAAAGGTTCTACCTTACATTTATTCAATTACAGGTGGTGTTATACCTCAAAAATAGCTAGAAAAACAGACTGTGAGTGGGGTCGCCTCTCCATAGTTCTGACCTGTAACTTGGTCTGGTTTGGTCTCCATGTTTAATGCCATAGTGTGAAACATTCAAGACAAAGCAATAGCATCTCCATGGAGAAAAGCAGATGACAGGTGACGGCCCTTACACCAGAAAGGTTACACCCTGCACCTTTAAATGAGACCTGTCCTGCTTTCACTCATGATGTCTGTTGCTGACATGACTATAACTCTATTTATTTATTTATTTTATTAATCAAACCTTAATTAATTTATGGATTCATTAGCAGTTACAATGTCAGACCAGCAAAACACGTTTAAACATTCACAATTGCAGAGGAGCTGCAAACGACTATTCTTTGTTTTCAGCTTCTTGTTTATAGGCGCCATTTTGAGGACTTTTCACCATTCAAAAGATTTAGTTTTGAATTCTTAATTGCTATGGTAACAGTGCTAACCCTGAACCCCATAGACATGTTGTGAAATTATATGGAAAAACAAGTAACTAAACTTCTTTTAGGCGAAGATCTGAAAGGTGCACTGTGTAACTTTTTTTCATTTGATTGTCTCCATGGAGATGTTACTGCTTTGCCTGGGATGTTCCACAGTACAGCATTAAACGTCCTCTAACTTCATGACAAGAAGAGAAGCAGGTGACACCACAGGGTTTAGCAATAAAAAACACCTTGCATAAAGACTGTATAGACACGTTTAATGCTATTGCCATACTGTGGAACATTCCAGAAAACGCCATAACATCTCCATGGAGACAAGCAAATGGCTAACAACCACCAGAAAAGTTACATAGTGCACCTGTAAGTCTAAAAAGTAACAAATAATGTAAATAGATATATAGAATAAGAAGAAATCATTGTATAGAAGAGTCCAGTAGCACTTGTGTATTTGCATGTGTAGAACTGAGCTTAGTGACTGTTGACTTTAGAACGACTGACGAACCAAAGCCACTAATGTTAATACAGTTTGTGCCTTTGTTTACACGCACACCAGAAATCTGATCATTATCTGATTTTTGGCTTTGTCAGATAATGAGATAAATCACTTTTAAAGGTCCTATATTACACAAAATTGACTCTTGTGAGCTTTAAACCATGTTGTAATGTTGTTACCTCGTCAAAAACAGACCTGGAGTCAGTGGCGGAGTTAGCAATTTGGGGGGCCCTAGGCGAACTTGAGTTTGGGGCTCTCACTATAATGCACTGTATATTTTTTTGTTTTTTTGTTTGTTTTTTTGGTTTTTTAATATATTTGTTGTCTGTTTTTCCCCATCTAGCCTACTAGATAACCAGAACTGAAAGTAGTTTTATTTTTTTGCTAGTACAATTACATTTTAGTTTACATCCATTACATATGATTATTATTACTTTTCTTATGATTATTGTTTCAAAGTAAACTCCTCTCATTTAATGTCATATTGAGAGAAAGTCAAATTGCTCTGAGGCCTCAGCCATTAGTGGCGCTGAGGGCAAATTGTTTTCAGGTTTCGAGGGCCTAGGCAGCCACCTACGTTTGTCTAATGGTAGCGCCACCTCTCTGCTCTGTTCCACTTTGTGATGTCATGAAGCAGTAATATTCATGTTAACAGCTCCTTTTTACCTTTAGTTCAGTAGAGATGGGCACTTCCAGATCTGAAATCATCCAAATGATTGTAGTGACGGTGGAATTTAAAAACACAATGGAGCACTTCCTGTATTACCACAAGACATCACCAGGTTTTCTGTTTGAAAGAAGAACCCAGCTTAAACAGGCAGGGTTTGTGTGTTAAACATGTGAATGCAATAGAACACAACTCCAGGTCTGTTCTGGATGAAGAAACAGCATTATAACATAGATCAGAAAATAGTGTAATATGAGCTTTTTAAACAGCAACATCTCTTTCTGAAACCTGTTTGTTAACTGTAGGTAAAAAAAAAAAATATTCAGAAATGTACTTTGTCAGATTTCTGGTGTACCCTTTTAGTGGAGGGTCCCCCATCTGCTTGTCTCCGTAGAGATAGTTTTGCTTTCCCTGAAATGTTCCACAGTTTACATTAGGCACATTTATCTCCATGGGTATAAAAGATTTTTGAGCAGTGAAAACAGCTGTAATGAAATATGGATAGGTTCTTTTAATACTATACTGTGAAACATTTCAGGCATAGCAATGACATTTCCATGGACACAAGCAGTTGGTTGGTCCTTCAATGGAAAAGTTACACAATGTAGCTTTAAACACACACCAATATTCAGATTTATTTATTGAGTTATCAGGCCACATTAACATTTCCACTGTACTTGTAGTGCAATGTTATAGGCTAGGTGTTTGTGTGTAGATATTATGATGAATTTTACAGTTTATTCTTAATGACTGTAATTAATACGACCTACTTTAGTATAGGAACACATTTTTATAATCTTGTTACTGACTAATCCGTTAAACGCCCCTGTATTTAAGGTCCCAATATTTGTACTTCTTTGAGAAAATTCACATAGGTTTTGTGTCTGTTCACTCGATTTTTCCTGAAGGATGCACAATAGTCAAAACAATAGATTTCATACAAGGAAGCATGTGGCAGTTAACTGAACAACAGCGCCCTCTTGTGTTCTGTAGAGAGACGTGACTTTAGATAGGTGTCTGATATGTTCCAATACAATACATATTTGACCAAAAAGTGCGTTTGGGTTACAGATTTAATTTTGTTTTTCTTTCCTGATACCTGATTTTGGTCCTGATTTCAACCCAGTCTAGTCGTTACCTAGACTTGGTTTGGTCCTGTTCTAGTCCTGGTTTAGTCCTAGTCTAGTCCTGGTTTAGTTCTGGGTTTAGTCCCAGTTTTGAATATTGTGTGTTTGAATGTGTGAATGCATGTTGCTGATGTTGAATTTAGTTAGATATGCAGTCGTTATATTTAAATTGCTTCCTTATATTGAATTTTCTGTTTAATTTGTTCATCTGTTTTATAATAATATATTTCCATCGGGATTAATAATGTGATATCTATATTAGTATTTTGTAAACTGACATTTACTAAAATAAAAGCATGTTTTTATTTAATTTTGGTTGTGTTTATTGCACTAAAAACAGAAAAACATACATGCTTACTGTGAGTGCACTTGCAGCTCCACAAACCTGACTCTTTTTGGCTGGCCTCCTCCTGCTTGTTTCCATGGAAATATTGTGCCTTTACCTATAATGGCATAAACTGTATCTTATCTCCATATAGAATGCTCCAAAGAATGGTTTTAAATTTCTATACAATCAGAAAGGCTCCACAAAGTTGCACACTGTTGCTTTAAAACACCATTATTCATGATTAACTTAAAACTAATTATCCAATGTGTATTTTCCAAACTTATAGACAGTCCCTGTGCCATTCTTTTTTTTGTATTTCAATGAAGAACGGAAAACAATACAATGGGAAAACAGTTTGTTATTTCATTATTCCGTTTTAGTGTCCAAAAAAAAAAAAAAAAAAAAAAAAAAAAAAACTGGTTTTGACCTCAATTTCCAATATTTAATTTAAAGTTAATCACAAATAACACCAAGTAAAACAGTCTGGTGCCTATTTTAATTTAGATTTTTTAGTCTCTCTGGTTTATTTGCCCTGAAAGCTCTGCTGCAGTGTCAATATTTTTTCATTATAGTTCTATGGCGTCAACTGAACACAGTTTATCGCTTCTTTCCGTTTCTCTTCGTGGAGTTCAACAATGACTTTCTAGGTTGTGAAAATAAACGTGTCGCTATAAAAGAAGACGACACGTTTGTCTACAAAATTACAACGATTTTTCAGGTGAGTCCTTCTAGCAGCAGAACTTCGGGGGCAAATAAAGTAAAAGTAAAAAAAAAGGAAAATATCAAAATTAAAAAATAGACACTGAGATTTGATTGGTGTTATTTGAAATAAGCTTCAAATATTTGAAATAGAGGCCGAAATCTGTTTTGCTTGACACTAAAGCAGAAAAATGAAATAAACAGTTTTCCCATTTTATTGTTTTTCATTCTTAATCGAAATTCAAAAGAACAAATAGTACACGGACCATATACTTCATCACTATATTCAGATCTCTACACACTGTGAAAAATTGAAATACCTTTTGTTAAAACAGCCAAACTTTGAATGTGCATTATTGTTATTTAATCCAACATTTCACTCAGAGCTGAATAGGAGGATTTAAAGGTTGACGTTTCGATAAAAGCTGTAGTTTTCATGTGACAGTGGGGGTGAGAGTCGTGGGGTGAGAGTCGTGGGGTGGGGGTCGTGGGGTGGGGGTCATGACTCGCCCCTTTTGGCCTGATTTACCCCACACTCAGAGCTGCTCTCGACCTTCAACTCAAACTCGCATCAAAGCTTCTCTCTCAAATGTTCCCACACAAACACACCTACACTTCTACACATCTGTTTGTGTCGTAACGGTCTATGCTGTTCAGAGCTGTCTAGTAAAGATGCACTGTGGAACTTTTCTGGTGTGTCCATGAAGATATTGCTGTTTTTTCTTTATTATTCCACAGTATGGAAATAAACTCAGTAATCACAATGGTGACAGGTTAATGGTCAGATCTATGGAGAAGCAAGCCTGCATATGATAATAAGTCTTATTTTTGGGGGGTTAAATACCTGGAATTGAAAAAGTGCAAGGAAGATATGTTTAATGCCCTACTGTGGGATATTCCACACAAGGACTCACCAATTTAGAAGTTACATAGTGCACCTGAAATGGGCTCATATTATGCTATTTTCTGATCTATGTTACAATGTTGTTTCCTCATCACAAATATGCCTGCAGTTGTGTTTTGTTTCATTCACACATATTTAACACACAAGCCCTGCATATTTAGGCTGAGTTCTTCTCACTAACAGAAAACACTCTGTTCCACCTTGTGATGTCATATGCTAATAAAGGAAGTGCACCACTGTGTTTTTAAACTCCACACACCTTCACTAGACTCATTTGGATATATTTCAGACCTGTATTTGTCAATCACTACTGAACTAAAGTAAGTAAATACCTAAGTTTTTATTTATATAGCGCTTTTCACAGACACTTCACTTCACTTTTGTCAAAAAGATGCTTTGCAGAGCATTATTCTTTCACTCCACAGTGGTAAGCTACTATTGTAGCCACAGCTGCCCTGAAGCAGACTGACAGAAGCAAGGCTGCCAGTTGGCACCACTGGTGCCCTGACCACCACCAACACTCACTCATGCACACACCACTTTCATACTAGGCAAATAAGTGCCTTGCCTAAGGACACATTGACAGTTTTTGTGACTGGCACCCCCCTGTGGCACCTGATTTTTCCAGTGGTCCCCCATCCAAGTACTAACCAGGCCCAGCCCTGCTTAGCTTCTGAGATCTGACGAGATCAGGCTTTGACAAACTAGTATGGCCACACACAAAAAAAATAACTGTTAACTTGAAAACTATATCACTTCATGACATCACAGGGTTGAACAGGATATTTTGACCTTTGGAGATGTGGACAAAAACACAACTCCAGGTCTGTTTTTGAGGAGGTAACAACATTATAACATGACTTAAAGCTCACAAGAGTCCATTTTGAGTAATTTAAAATAGGGATGGGATGAGACACCATTTCCACAAGATGAGGCAGGATGAGATAATATCAACAAGAACGAGATTCAACGTGAGTTTGACATAATTTATAATAAATCAACCAATCCCTTTTTGTTGTTATTGTAGCTCAGCTTTTGGAACTTCTCAAGAAATGTAACTCACTAGCTCTTAACCCCTTATTGTCCATTCCAGATGTAAAAACATGACTGGGTAAAAAAAAATAATGTCACAAGATAATTTTTCTCATGTATGGATAATCTTTTGGCAATTTCATCTCATGAGATCTTGTGGCATGAAATCTTGTCCCATTTCTTCTGTAAAATAGCACTGTATTAAATGTATTATTATTTTAACATGTCCAATTGTCCATTTTGTTTGATTTTGTTTTTGAACAGCATTTGCTAATATGTACATTGTGTCACCATGGTAATTCCTAAACATTCCACCATTAGAGAAACATGTAGAACACCTCCAGCGTGATTTAACTACATGAACAGTATGCAAAAGAGTGAACATTTCTTTAAGTGTATTTACTGGAAAAAGATATTGTTCTTCCTTGAGTAGTTTTCAGATCCCACTACTACTACTTGAGCATAATATTTGTAACAGTACTCTTACTTGAGTAAAAATTTCATCTACAAGTGACAAAAGCTTTATGTCGACAATACTAAATGATTTGAACTTTTTTCTTTTATTCTGATATAATTTAATTTTTCTCATTTTTGTGGTCTATGTTTTCAAAATAACAGCTCTTGTGCTTCATTTTAATATTTTGTCCTTCTAATTACATTAACTTAAACTTATAAATCAGATGTTTTACCTACATAGTTACTCTTAGGTCGATTACTCTCCTACTTGAGAATTATATTCTTACTTGAGAAAAAGTTTTGGCTGCTCTTCCCATTGTGAGTAAGTCTTCAAGTGACAAAAGCTTTGTGTCGACAATACACAATGATTTGAACATTTGTGTTTCTTGCACCACTAATTCAGATATGATTTAATTTTTCTCATTTTTTATCTCTCTTTTGAAAATGCCAGATTTTGTGCATCATTTTAGCGTTTTCTCCTCCTAATTACATTAACGTAAACTTATATCAGATGTAATACTTACATAGTTACGCTTATTTTGATTATTCTACTACTTGAGTAACATATTTGCAACAGTACTCTTACTTGAGTAAAAGTTTTGGCTACTCTTCCCACTTTAAGTCTACAAGTGCCAAAAGCTTTATGTTGACAATACGAAATGATTTGAACGTTTGTGTTACTTGCACCACTCCTTCAGATATGATTTAGTTTTTCTCATTTCCGTGGTCTGTCTTTTGAAAATACAAAATTTTGTGCTTCATTTTAACGTTTTGTCCTTCCAATTACATTAACTTAAACTTAAAAATCAGATGTTATGCCCAGGTAGTTACTCTTGGGATTACTCTTACTTAGTTTCCCCAAACACTTTTTTCTCTTATTTTGACCACTACTTTGTACTTTGAACTGAGTACAGATGTGTAGTATTTGAACGTAACAGCTATTGACTCCAGTTTCCCAGTATTTTAGGTCAATACATAGAATAAATGGTCAATCAATACACATTCATTTCACTGTGGCAGTCTGGAGACATTATGCGTACAAAGAAGTATTGAAAATCCCAGAGAGAGCCGTGTAAGTGATAGAGAATGTCTGACACATGAGCAGCACAGCGCATCTATAATGTTGTCACTTTCATTCAATTAGTGTCTTGTGCATTTTACAATTGAAACAGAGCTGAAGCCATTGGGACACGCGCGCTGTCACTCGAGAGAACCACCACTAAATGCTTTAATTGTATTTGCAGCGAGGAGTCCGCACCGCCTCCTCTTCTTCGCGATTGGCCGGGTCTAGAACCGGCTAAAATCTGCGCGCTGTGACTGGTCTGGCGAGCTTTCTGTTTTGGTCGCGTCGGAAAGGGGAGGGAGCCGTCTGCCTTCCGCTTCTAGGGCTGGAGAGATTGGCACACAATGAGGAGTAGGACGCCGCTCTAGATAACTACAACAATCACAGAGGCCAGAGAAACATGGAGAATCAGGTACTGTCGCTTTCAGCTCTTCTGGCATCGCAACTTTCCCGTGCGTAAAAGCGAAAAGGCTGTGCGTAACGTCGGCGTGGGTCCTCTACTCCGCCAGTAGCCACAAGAAAAATGCTCCTGCTGCTAATGAACTCGTAGTTGTTTGGCTCTGGAGCTATGCTAGCTGGCTGGCCACTCATACATCGGTATTTACCGCTAGCTCCAGTCTATCACAAGCCATTCTACACCGCTGCATAGCTTTAGCCTTAACCATGCGCACGTAGACCCTGGCACTTGGCGTTTATTCCACTCCGATGTGTTTAATACGGATTTGTATGCTAATAAATGCAATATTGTGTGATTTTGAGTGGGTTTGCAGTGGCTAAGCTAGGCCAGTGTGTGTGATTGGGCCGATGGCTAAAGGCTAGGGAGAAGCTACAAGGCGCCGGGGAAGCGTTTGTCCAGGTTGGAGCAGAGAGGCGGGGTGGTGCCTTCTTTGCCAGCGGCCTGATATTCCACTCCTATCGCTAATAACACAACAAAAGCACAGATATGGCTATAGAAACGCACTGTCTGATCAGCATCAAGTTGTGCATGTGATATAATGTGATAATATATTGTTTAAATCTGCGTTTGGCACTGGACAGCGTTGAACTTGAATCTGAAATGGTGACCTCGCTATTATAGGCAAATTGCACAGGGCGTGAAAACATTTGGATCACTGCGTTAAGCCAAGTTTAAAACGTAGAATCAAGCTGGTAATAACATACAATCTCCTTTCAATATTCTCGTGTTGATTGGTCATACTTAAGGTTTAAAGATCATAATTATAGGTCTGCAGTCTTGGCCTAGGTTAGACGTTTCTTGAACATGGCTGTAGTGAATGCTTTGGGTGAGTTTCAGATGGTTAGGCCACACAGGAGGAGAGTGGCTGGACTAGTTCTTGGACGCTGTCTCCATTCACAGTTGGACCCTTTGAAGTTTTAACTGGATCTGATCATGTGAATCAGGGAGACCCCTTCGCCACACTGTCCAGAGGAGAGGGCAGGTCTGGCGCTTTGATTTTCCTGGCAATCGGACAGTAAAATGGTGTTTGGAATGTCAAGATGAATTAATAGTTGTGATCGTCTGGATCGCAATGTAATGACTTAGACAAACTTTATTGATTCACAAGTGGAATTATTTGAACACAGTAGCGTTCACGTCACAATATAATGTAATAACAAAGAGCAAACATATAATTGGTAATAATAAAAACAGTAACAAGCAGCAAAAATAGCAACAGACTGGTGTCAAATAAAGCATAATTTTCAAGTAATGCATGGCTATGTTTAGTTTTATGCCTTCATAGGTGGAGACTTTAATGTAAGCTCTTCTGGGGTTTCTGCCTCTTTTTTGCTCCTACTTTTTATCTAGTTGACCTTTTTATTGTTATATGTTGTGTAAGTGCAAAATAAAATAAATCATTATATAAATGTATGTGCAAGTAAACATAAAATCTAGAAATATAGTAATACACAGTATGTCTTGGCAATGTACAAGAAGGGGTAAGGTGAAAAGAAGAAATTGTGATTGACATGACAAAGTGTTACCTATTACATCTATTAGGACTAAAATAACTGAGATCTTAGAAGAAAATAATAAACTGAAACGTAAAGTGCTTTTTATCTGGCTATTTAGGTTACATTAAAGGACCCATATGTAACTTTTCTAATAGAATATCTGGCACCAACTTGTCTCCATGGTGATGTTATTCCTGTGCCTGGAATGTTCCGTCGTGGAGTGGAATTCCAGCACAAAAATGCAAAATGAAAAACACAAAATTGTACAGTGTTCTTAACAGATGTGATTTATTGCTTTGCCTGGATGCGTCACTTTCGCAAATTAAAAGAGAGTTAAACCGGTTTAATGCCATACTTTGCGACATTCCAGACGAGGCAGTAGCATCTCCATGGAGACGAGCACGCAGGGGACCAGAAAAGTTACATATAGTGCACCTTTATTCATTCAGAAGAGGGATATCTATTTGAATCTATGTGAATGAAAGTTAATGACAGTCACTGTTGTTTGGTCATGTGGTCAAAAATCATGAATAATATTAATATTTATCAAAACAAAGAACAGAAAAAGACCAAAAAAAAAAGACTATAATAATCTTAACACTACAATTTGATATTGTGACGAGTGTTGGCACCATACTAACATTTCAAACCCGGATTTTAATCGATAATCAATACCGCTTTCGATACTGCAATGATAACTAAATACAATGCAATACAATGTGATTTTCATAATCCTCTCTTTTAAATTACTGTGTGCCTTATGTGTAATCCCTCAGTGATCCAGGTAGGTTTCATAGTGGTCCATGGCGTATACTAGTCTATATGCTCTTATACAGCTCAAAATCATTCTAAAGCTATTCAGGAAAGGTTCATTTCTGTCCTGTGAATGTCATTTTTTTAAGTATACTAGATTCAGTATTGATAATTATTTAATTTCCGATACTTTTGACATCCACATTGTCCAAAATATTGAAGAGCATGGATAAAAGTAATACAACTAACATGTATACACTCATTTGTGTTTCGTGATTACACAGGCCAGTGCGTGTGAGTGTGAGTAATGTGGTTGAACATACTGACTTGAAAGTAGATCTATTTTGATTTGTGGTGAAGGCAATAGCAAACTTGTGACTCATTAGGTCAGGCTTATCTTAGTTTTCTGGTTCAAGGTCAAATTGGTGAGTGATTTCTATCATACATTCCTTGGCCTTAATTAATTTCCACACTATAGACTTGGGCAATAAGACAAAAATAGGAATCATACTTTATTTATTTATGTTAATTATCAAGATAGTTTATTATTTTGTCTTTAAAACAATAAAATTTGGGTGTTGGGTTGCAAAAGTATTGAAAATTAGATACTAATCGATCCTTAAACTGTAGATCCTCATTTGAGCCGGTATTGATACTAAAAAAACTATCATAGTGGTATTTGAATCGGTATTGAGTATCAAGTCTATTCCTTAGTATCAAATTCGAGTTTAAAAGTTAAGGATCCTGACAACACTACTGTACATTAATTTACTTCAATAAAATATTCTTAATTTTACTCTGTCTGAACTCTGCTCCAATCAATATTAGTTAAAGGTCCAATATTACACAAAATTGACTCTTGTGAGCTTTTAGCCTTGTTCTAATGTTGTTACTTCCTCAAAAACAGACCTAGAGTTGTGTTTTATTTGAGTAATCCTGCGTTATTAGTCTGTCATCTGTACATCTCCAAAGCTCAATATGCTCTGTTCCACCTTGTGATGTCATGAAGCGGTAGTTTTCAAGTTAACGGCTCAGTAGAAATTAACAATTCCAGGGCTGAAATGATCCAAGTGATTCAAGTGAAGGTGTGTGGAGTTTAAAAACACAGAGCACTTCCTGTTTTTCCAAATCACAAGGTGGAACAGTGTGTTTTCTGTTTGAGTGAAGAACGCAGCCTAAATATACTAGATTATAACATAGATCAGAAAATAGTGTAATATAGACCCTTTAAATTTTGTACATCTTAATAATTAATAACATTTGAGGTAAATTTTAATACAAATGAAATGAACGTTTGCCCTGGATCTTCACTTTTGGGTTAGTAAGTGGTTTGCGGTTCTTTTCTTCTCTTCTGAAAAAAGCCTCAGACTGTTTTCTAAGAATGTCCTTCTACTGTCTCAATTTCCTTTGAGTGACTGTGACTCATTATTGATAGAACTTTGTTTCTTAGCAATATTGTACATTTTCAGTATTTTTCGTTATCTTTTAGCAGCTCTTTTCTTCTGTAAAATCTAAAATTTCAAAGTTATGTGAACGTGGAGGCTTCTTTCTCCATCAACTTGAGCACCAGTTCACTTTGTACCATCGCCCCTCTTTCTGTAACTGCTGCTGCCAGGCTCCTCATTTTGGTCTTATTAACCCGCTCTACATGATTCTGGTGTTTTTATTCACTATTTTGTCAGTAAATCAATTTCTATTCCTAATATGGAACTCTGCACAAAATTCTCCCCTATAACTGCCAGCCTCTTTGAGCTTCATTTGACTGGAGGTGAACGTTATGAGTTATAAAGATATATCCAAGTCTGTTGATACGTTTTTTTCATGAACTGTATCTCACCGTACAATGTTTTTTTTTTTTTACAATATTTGCGGAGGCTAACCAAATTGTGAATACCCATTTTCCTTTTTAAAAACCTTGAAAAAGCTTGGTACTGTTATAATATAAGTAATTAAGACTGAAAAGACGTGCTTAATAAGTTATTTCTTTATATACTCTGCACTGACAACACCAAGAATCATGGTCTATGTAGTACTCTGTTTTATTTTTTTAGCTCCTGCTGCATCATAACTATTAATTTAAGCGAAGAGACTTGTAATTCAACATATTGTGATGGTCCACGATATTATTGAGACTTTTGGCGATACGATATATAGGGTTGTAACGATATCCAAGTCTCATGATTCGATATTGTCACGATATACATCTCATGGTACGATATTTATTGCGATATAAAATTTAAATGCCTTGACAAGACTTAATCCAAAGAACTAAAACTTACAAGTGCTTAGAACTGTTATTTCTTATTGTAGTCTACACTGAAATGGAGCAAAGGATCATGGTCTATGTAGTCTTCTCCATCTTTTTTATTGCAACACCATAACTCTTAATTTAAGCAAAGATGCTTGTGATTTGATATATTGCGATGGCCCACGGTATTACTGTACATACTTTTACGATATGATATCACAATATTTTGGTTATTGTTACATCCCTAACGATATAATGATATTTCGGTTATTGTTACATTCCTATGGGTGACGTCACACTCCCTTAGTCCACTTCTTTATACAGCTCTAGCCCAGTTCTCCTCTCTCAAACATGCCTGTACAGAATCGAGTGGTTGTCTTGTCTTTGCTTCATTTAAAACCTTGTGTGCTGTGGCTTCCTGTCTGACAGCGACAGTGACAGAGCTGGGGCCGTTAATC